AGATCCACTATGGGTACACTACAATAACACAACTATGTCACATTGTGGCCACCAGATCTACACTGTTACCCTACAATAACACACACCCATGTCACATTGTGGCCACCAGATCTACACTGTTACCCTACAATAACACACAACCAAGTCATGTTGTGGCCACCAGATCTTCACTGTTACCCTACAATAACACACACTCATGTCACATTGTGGCCACCAGATCTACACTGTTACCCTACAATAACACAACTATGTCACATTGTGGCCACCAGATCTACACTGTTACCCTACAATAACACAACCAAGTCATGTTGTGGCCACCAGGTCTACACTGTTACCCTACAATAACACACACCCATCCATGTCACATTGTGGCCACCAGATCTACACTGTTACCCTACAATAACACACACCCATGTCACATCACATTGGCCACCAGATCTACACTGTTACCCTACAATAACACAACTATGTCACATTGTGGCCACCAGATCTACACTGATAACCCTACTATAACACAACCAAGCCACATTGTGGCCACCAGGTCCACACTGTTACCCTACAATAACACACACCCATGTCACATTGTGGCCACCAGATCTACACTGTTACCCTACAATAACACAACCAAGTGATATTGTGGCCACCAGGCCTACACTGTTACCCTACAATAACACAGCTATGTCACATTGTGGCCACCAGATCTACACTGTTACCCTACAATAACACAACCAAGTCACATTGTGGCCACCAGGTCCACACTGTTACCCTACAATAACACACACCCATGTCACATTGTGGCCACCAGATCTACACTGTTACCCTACAATAACACAACTATGTCACATTGTGGCCACCAGATCTACACTGATAACCCTACTATAACACAACCAAGCCACATTGTGGCCACCAGGTCCACACTGTTACCCTACAATAACACACACCCATGTCACATTGTGGCCACCAGATCTACACTGTTACCCTACAATAACACAACCAAGTGATATTGTGGCCACCAGGCCTACACTGTTACCCTACAATAACACAGCTATCTCACATTGTGGCCACCAGATCTACACTGTTACCCTACAATAACACAACCAAGTCACATTGTGGCCACCAGGTCCACACTGTTACCCTACAATAACACACACCCATGTCACATTGTGGCCACCAGATCTACACTGTTACCCTACAATAACACAACTATGTCACATTGTGGCCACAAGATCTACACCGTTACTACCCTACAATAGCACAACCAAGTCATGTTGTGGCCACCAGATCTACACTGTTACCCTACAATAACACACACCCTAGTAACATTGTGGCCACCAGATCAACACTGTTACCCTACAATAACACACACCCATGTCACATTGTGGTAACCAGATCCACTATGGGTACACTACAATAACACAACTATGTCACATTGTGGCCACCACATCTACACTGTTACCCTACAATAACACACACCCATGTCACATTGTGGCCACCAGATCTACACTGTTACCCTACAATAACACACAACCAAGTCATGTTGTGGCCACCAGATCTTCACTGTTACCCTACAATAACACACACTCATGTCACATTGTGGCCACCAGATCTACACTGTTACCCTACAATAACACAACTATGTCACATTGTGGCCACCAGATCTACACTGTTACCCTACAATAACACAACCAAGTCATGTTGTGGCCACCAGGTCTACACTGTTACCCTACAATAACACACACCCATGTCACATTGTGGCCACCAGATCTACACTGTTACCCTACAATAACACACACCCATGTCACATTGTGGCCACCAGATCTACACTGTTACCCTACAATAACACAACTATGTCACATTGTGGCCACCAGATCTACACTGATAACCCTACTATAACACAACCAAGCCACATTGTGGCCACCAGGTCCACACTGTTACCCTACAATAACACACACCCATGTCACATTGTGGCCACCAGATCTACACTGTTACCCTACAATAACACAACCAAGTGATATTGTGGCCACCAGGCCTACACTGTTACCCTACAATAACACAGCTATGTCACATTGTGGCCACCAGATCTACACTGTTACCCTACAATAACACAACCCAAGTCACATTGTGGCCACCAGGTCCACACTGTTACCCTACAATAACACACACCCATGTCACATTGTGGCAACCAGATCTACACTGATAACCCTACTATAACACAACCAAGCCACATTGTGGCCACCAGGTCCACACTGTTACCCTACAATAACACACACCCATGTCACATTGTGGCCACCAGATCTACACTGTTACCCTACAATAACACAACCAAGTGATGTTGTAGCCACCAGGCCTACACTGTTACCCTACAATAACACAGCTATGTCACACTGTGGCCACCAGATCTACACTGTTACCCTACAATAACACACACCCATGTCACATTGTGGCCACCAGATCTACACTGTTACCCTACAATAACACACAACCAAGTCATGTTGTGGCCACCAGATCTACACTGTTACCCTACAATAACACATACCCATGTCACATTGTGGCCACAAGATCTACACTGTTACCCTACAATAGCACAACCAAGTCATGTTGTGGCCACCAGATCTACACTGTTACCCTACAATAACACACACCCTAGTAACATTGTGGCCACCAGATCTACACTGTTACCCTACAATAACACACACCCATGTCACATTGTGGTAACCAGATCCACTATGGGTACACTACAATAACACAACTATGTCACATTGTGGCCACCAGATCTACACTGTTACCCTACAATAACACACACCCATGTCATGTTGTGGCCACCAGATCTACACTGTTACCCTACAATAACACACAACCAAGTCATGTTGTGGCCACCAGATCTTCACTGTTACCCTACAATAACACACACCCATCTCACATTGTGGCCACCAGATCTACACTGTTACCCTACAATAACACAACTATGTCACATTGTGGCCACCAGATCTACACTGTTACCCTACAATAACACAACCAAGTCATGTTGTGGCCACCAGGTCTACACTGTTACCCTACAATAACACACACCCATGTCACATTGTGGCCACCAGATCTACACTGTTACCCTACAATAACACACACCCATGTCACATTGTGGCCACCAGATCTACACTGTTACCCTACAATAGCACAACTATGTCACATTGTGGCCACCAGATCTACACTGTTACCCTACAATAACACAACCAAGTCATGTTGTGGCCACCAGGTCTACACTGTTACCCTACAATAACACACACCCATGTCACATTGTGGCCACCAGATCTACACTGTTACCCTACAATAACACACACCCATGTCACATTGTGGCCACCAGATCTACACTGTTACCCTACAATAACACACACCCATGTCACATTGTGGCCACCAGATCTACACTGTTACCCTACAATAGCACAACTATGTCACATTGTGGCCACCAGATCTACACTGTTACCCTACAATAACACAACCAAGTCATGTTGTGGCCACCAGGTCTACACTGTTACCCTACAATAACACACACCCATGTCACATTGTGGCCACCAGATCTACACTGTTACCCTACAATAACACAACCAAGTCATGTTCTGGCAACCAGGTCCACACTGTTACCCTACAATAACACAACTATGTCACATTGTGGCCACCAGATCTACACTGTTACCCTACAATAACACACACCCATGTCACATTGTGGCCACCAGATCTACACTGTTACCCTACAATAACACAACCAAGTCATGTTGTGGCCACCAGGTCTACACTGTTACCCTACAATAGCACACACCCATCTCACATTGTGGTCACCAGATCTACACTGTTACCCTACAATAACACAACCAAGTCATGTTGTGGCCACCAGGTCTACACTGTTACCCTACAATAACACAAATATGTCACATTGTGGCCACCAGATATACACTGTTACCCTACAATAACTCAATTATGTCACATTGTGGCCACCAGATCTACACTGTTACCCTACAATAACACACACCCATGTCACATTGTGGCCACCCGATCTACACTGTTACCCTACAATAACACAACCAAGTCATGTTGTGGCCACCAGTTCCACACTGTTACCCTACAATAACACAACTATGTCACATTGTGGCCACCAGATCTACACTGTTACCCTACAATAACACAACCAAGTCATGTTGTGGCCACCAGATCCACACTGTTACCCTACAATAACACAACTATGTCACATTGTGGCCACCAGATCTACACTGTTACCCTACAATAACACACAGCCATGTCACATTGTGGCCACCAGATCTACACTGTTACCCTACAATAACACAACCAAGTCACATTGTGGCCACCAGATCTACACTGTTACCCTACAAAAACACACCCTAGTAACATTGTGGCCACCAGATCTACACTGTTACCCTACAATAACACACACCCATGTCACATTGTGGTAACCAGATCCACTATGGGTACACTACAATAACACAACTATGTCACATTGTGGCCACCAGATCTACACTGTTACCCTACAATAACACACACCCATGTCACATTGTGGCCACCAGATCTACACTGTTACCCTACAGTAACACACAACCAAGTCATGTTGTGGCCACCAGATCTACACTGTTACCCTACAATAACACAACCAAGTCACATTGTGGCCACCAGATCTACACTGTTACCCTACAATAACACACACCCATGTCACATTGTGGTAACCAGATACACTATGGGTACCCTACAATAACACACAACCAAGTCACATTGTGGCCACCATATCTACACTGTTACCCTACAATAACACAACCAAGTAAACAATACACCGTTGACCAAGTCACATGTTCACCTTGTAAACAATACACTGTCAATCAAGTCACATGTTCACCTTGTAAACAATGCACTGTCGATCAAGTCAGGGCAAACAATGATTCATCACAAACAAAAATCCAAACATACTTGGTGAAAGCTGGTGACACAAACCGAAAAAATTATTGGTCATAAAAAGTTTTATTATTCATTACAAATGTTTTGTTGTGATGTCCTTCTGTGCCTGCCTGTAACAGCTCAGCATTTATCAACATGAAATGTTGTGTGTGTAAACCTGCATATGACACATAACATATAATACAACACAGTTTGACAGTAGTGGTTGGTTGGTTGGTTCAAGAGGTTCCTGTGTGATAATAGCTCATATACATTACTCTGTGTTGTACTGTAAGACAACTTCGCAGCTACCCTTGTCCTAGCATCATGTTGCCACAACAGTGTGGCAGTAACTCACATACTACAGTGTGGGTTTGACAATGCGGCAATGCCTCACAATTACGACAATGCGGCAATGCCTCACAATTACGACAATTTGGCAATGCCTCACATAGGTATGAAGGGCTTCCTGGTCTTCATGTAGGCACGACTATGAAGGGTTGATAGGGCATCAGTTTGCTCTTGTCGTGACACGCCTGAAGCCACTGTGGCTTCACAAAGACCAGGTTTGGGTTGTCACTGAGGGCCTGAAACAGAGAGAACACCTGTCACTGAAGGCCTGAAACAGAGAGAATGCCTTTGGCTGAGGGCCTGAAACAGAGAGAACACCTGCCACTGAGGGACTGAAACAGAGAGAACACCTGCCACTGAGGGACTGAAACAGAGAGAACACATGTCACTGAGGGACTGAACAGAGAGAACACCTGTCACTGAGGGACTGAAACAGAGAGAACACATGTCACTGAGGGCCTGAAACAGAGAGAAAAAAATGTCACTGAGGGACTGAAACAGAGAGAACACATGTCACTGAGGGCCTGAAACAGAGAGAACACTTGTCACTGAGGGACTGAAACTGAGAGAACACATGTCACTGAGGGATTGAAACAGAGAGAACACATGTCACTGAGGGACTGAAACAGAGAGAACACATGTCACTGGGGAACTAAAACAGAGAGAACACCTGTCACTGAGGGCCTGAAACAGAGAGAACACCTGTCACTGAGGGCCTGAAACAGAGAGAACACATGTCACTGAGGGACTGAAACAGAGAGAACACATGTCACTGGGGAACTAAAACAGAGAGAACACCTGTCACTGAGGGCCTGAAACAGAGAGAACACATGTCACTGAGGGCCTGAAACAGAACACTTGTATCAAATACCCACCAATTAGTTGTAATAAATGCTGATAGTGCAATACATAGTGTGACCATCCTGACTCCTCACCTCATCAAAGTTGTCATCCCACGTGGATGCGGTGACCACATACTTCACCGTGTCTGACATGTATTCCTCCAGACATCTGCAAACAAGGTTAGCTTAGGGTTAGAACAAGGATGTATGTAAACAAGGAGTACAAATAAGGTCATACTCGGTAAAACTGACTGCTGAAGTACAAGGCGACATGACTGACTATGCAAAACTGACTTTCAATATCCTGCTCCCCATCCTATGTCCCTTCCGCTCCCCATCCTATGCCCATCCCGCTCCCTATCCTATGCCCATCCCGCTCCCTATCCTATGCCTATCCCGCTCCCCATACTATGTCCCTCTCCCTATCCTATGTCCATCCCGCTCCCCATCCTATGCCCATCCCGCTCCCTATCCTATGCCCATCCCGCCCCCCATCCTATGTCCATCCTGCATTCTATACTGTGTGCACCTTCCGCTTCCCCATCCTGTGTCCCTTTCTGCTCCCCATCCTATGCCCCTCCCGGCCCCCACCCTATGCCCCTTCCGCCTCCCCATCCTAGGTCTGTCCCTGCCGCCCCCATCCTATGCCGATCCCACTCCCCATCCTATGCCCCTTCCGCTTCCTAAACCTATGCCCATCCCGCCTCCCCATCCTATGCCCATCCCGCTCCCTATCCTATGCCCATCCTGCTCCCTATCCTATGCCCATCCCGCTCCCCATCCTATGCCCATCCCGCTCCCTATCCTATGTCCATCCCGCTCCCCATACTATGTCCCTCCCGCTCGCCATCCTGTACACCTTCCGCTCCCCATCCTCTGTCCCTGCTGCTCCCCATCCTGTGCCCCTCCCGCTTCCCACCCTATGCCCCTTATGCTCCCCATCTTATGTCCTGCCCCTGCCGCCCCCATCCTATGCCAATTCCACTCCCCATCCTATGCCCCTTCCGCACCCCATCCAATGCCTATACCCTCCTCCCTCTCCCCATCCTATGCCCCATCCATGTTCAGATTTCGCTTCCCCCATCCTATGCCCGCCCCCGGCTTCCCCACGCTTATGTCCCTCCTCCCGGGCCCCCATCCTCCTATGCCACTTCTGTCACCATCCTATGTCCCTACAACTCCCCATCCCACTCACCCACCCTATGCCCATCTTGTTCCCTCTTCCTATGCCAATCCCGCTTCCCCATCCTATGCCCCCTTCCGCCCTCTAAACTTATACCTCCTCCCCGCTTCCCCCATCCTATGCCCCTTCTGCTCCCCATCCTATGCCCATCCCGGGCCCTCATCCTATGCCCTTTTTCTGCTCCCATCCTATGCCCCATCCACACCTAATCGATATGCCACTCCAACGCCTCTTTGTATGTCCCTCCCACTCCCCTGGAACCTATGCCCCACCCACTCTCTATCCTATGACGCCCCACTCTCCCATCCTATGCCCCCTCCTGTTCCCCCATTCTATACCCTCCCCATCCCCATCCTATGCTGATTCCCGGCTTCCCCATCCTATGCCCTTCTGCTGCTCCCCATCCTATGCCCCATCCACACCTCATCATGATGCCACCCAACGCCTTTTGTATGTCCCTCTCCCACTCAACCTATGCCCCCCACCCACTCCCCATCCTATGCCCTCCCTGCTCTCCATCCTAAGCCCTCCCTCCTGCTCCCCATCCTATACCCGTCCCCGGATCCCCATCCTATGCCCCTCCTGCTCCCCATTCTATACCCCTCCCGCTCCCCATCCTATGCCCCCTCCTGCTCCCACTTCTATACCCCTGCTCCCCATTCTATACCCCCTCCCACTCCTCATCCTATGCCCTCTCTCACTCTCCATCCTATGCCCCACCCACCCCTCATCCTATGACGCTCTAATTCCCCCATCCTATGCCCCTCCCAATCCCCATCCTATGCTGATTCCGCCCCCATCCTATGCCCCTTCCTCTACCCATCCTATGCCCCTTCTGCTCCCCATCCTATGACCCATCCACACCTCATCGTATGCCACTCCAATGCCCTTTGTATGTCCCTCCCACTCCCGAACCTATGCCCCACCAACTCCCCATCCTATGCCCCTCCTGCTCCCCATTCTATACCCCTCCTGCTCCCCATTCTATACCCCTCCCACTCCTCATCCTATGCCCCTCCCACTCCTCATCCTATGCCCCTGTCACTCTCCATCCTATGCCCCACCAACCCCCATCCTCACCCATCGTATGCAGCAATGTATCGGACGAGGAGCCGTCTCTCAGGGCCAGGGATCTCTCCATACAGGAAGAAGTGTTTGTCAGCGAAAAAGTCTGGTAGGTCAGGCAGTCCTGAGTCAGCACTGTCATCGTCTCTAGTACTGGCTGGGGGAGTGTCATCGTCTTCATCAGTGGAGCCACAGTACGGGTCAACATCTTTTTTCCCAGGTGACTTGGCAGTGGCAGCTTCATGCTTGGCTACCTTCTCCTTGGCCCTGCAACACAGACATACTCTAACTCAGACAACACTGTCTGTACACACACCATACATTCAGACATGACTATCTGTACACACCACACATTCAGACATGACTATCTGTACACACCACACATTCAGACATGACTATCTGTACACACACCAAACATTCAGACAAGACTATCTGTACACACCACTCATTCAGACAAGACTATCTGTACACACCACACATTCAGACGTAACTGTCTGTACACACACCACACATTCAGACATGACTCTGTACACACACCACACATGACTGTCTGTACACAAACCACACATTCAGACATGACTGTCTGTACACACACCAAACATGACTGTCTGTACACACACCACACATGACTGTATGTACACACACCACACATGACTGTACACAAACCACACATTCAGACATGACTGTCTGTACACAAACCACACATGACTGTCTGTACACACACCACACATGACTGTCTGTACACACACCACACATGACTGTCTGTACACACACCACACATTCAGACAAGACTGTCTGTACACACACCACACATGACTGTCTGTACACAAACCACACATGACTGTCTCTACACACACCACACATGACTGTCTGCACACACACCACACATGACTGTCTGTACACACACCACACATGACTGTCTGTACACACACCACACATTCAGACATGACTGTCTGTACACACACCACACATTTACCCATGACTGTCTGTACACACACCACACATGACTGTCAGTACACACACCACATGACTCTCTGTACACACACCACACATTCACATATGACTGTCTGTACACACCACACATGACTGTCTGTACACACACCACACATTCAGACATGACTGTCTGTACACACACCACACATGACTGTCTGTACACACACCACACATGACTGTCTGCACACACACCACACATGACTGTCTGTACACACACCACACATTCAGACAAAACTGTCTGTACACACACCACACATGACTGTACACAAACCACACATTCACACATGACTGTCTGTACACACACCACACATGACTGTCTGTACACACACCACACATTCAGACATGACTGTCTGTACACACACCACAGATGACTGTCTGTACACACACCACACATGACTCTGTACACACACCACACATTCAGACATGACTGTCTGTACACACACCACACACGACTGTCTGTACACACCACACATTCAGACATGACTGTCTGTACACACACCACACATTCAGACATGACTGTCTGTACACACACCACACATTCAGACTCCAGGTTCTAACAAATTCAGACTCTACCGTATGACATACCTCCTTATTTCATCGTCTGTGTCCTCACCCGAGTCTGTGTCTCCTCCGTAAAGGTCATCTGCAAATATATCAACATTGTTTCATAATGTCGGTACTTACACACTCCTACGTCTCTATGCTGAACACAAACACATACCTACATAGAACACAGACACATACCTACGTCTCTACACTGAACATAGACACATACCTACGTCTCTACACTGAACACATACATACCTACGTCTCTACACTGAACATAGACACATACCTACGTCTCTACACTCAACACATACATACCTACGTCTCTACACTGAACACATACATACCTCATCCCTACACTCAACACATACATACTTCCTCTCTACACTGAACATAGACACATACCTACGTCTCTACACTGAACACATACATACCTACGTCTCTACACTCAACACATACATACCTACGTCTCTACACTGAACACATACATACCTACGTCTCTACGCTCAACACAGACATACCTACGTCTCTACACTGAACATAGACACATACCTACGTCTCTACACTGAACACATACCTACCTACGTCTCAACACAGACACATACATACCTACGTCTCTACACTGAACATAGACACATACCTACGTCTCTACACTCAACACATACATACCTATGTCTCTACACTCAACACATACATACCTACGTCTCTACACTGAACATAGACACATACCTACGTCTCTACACTCAACTCAATACATACCTACGTCTCTACACTGAACACATACATACCTCATCTCTACACTGGACACATACATACCTACGTCTCTACACTCAACACATACATACCTACGTCTCTACACTCAACACATACCTACCTACGTCTCTACACTGAACATAGACACATACCTACGTCTCTACACTCAACTCCATACATAACTACGTCTCTACACTCAACACATACATACCTCATCTCTACACTGGACATATACATACCTACGTCTCTACACTCAACACATACATACCTCATCTCTACACTCAACACATACATACCTACGTCTCTAGACACATACCTACGTCTCTACACTCAACACACACATACCTACGTCTCTACACTCAACACAGACATACCTACATCTCAACACAACACAGACATACCTACGTCTCAACACAGACACATACATACCTACGTCTCTACACTCAACACAGACATACCTACGTCTCAACACAGACAGACATACCTACGTCTCTACACTCAACACAGACACATACATACTGATAATAAGGAAAAGCCAAATGTCATGTTAATCTCAAACTTTATTCAGCTGTCTCAAAAAAGGTCTTACACTGACAAGCTCCGCTATCTAACTGACCCCCGCGGGCAGTCACATGTCCCCTCGTCGACGGTTTCCCCACGAGAAGCACGTGGTTTTCGCGGAGCAAGGTGTGTTTTTCAACACGTTACACCCGTAAACGCATCTGGCGCGTTTTGGCGCGCAAACCCTCCTGAACATACCCCCCTCTTTGGCAGGACACTGACAACAACTAAAAATAAGCAACGTGTGATGAAAACATGTAAACATTCGGCTTACACTTACCAATTGTCGAAATAAACACTATATCGATTATAACATTCCACAAGAATTGTCCTTGTTATGTCTCTTGAAATCACATTCCTGCAGGAATTCATACAATACAATTCAAACAGTTCAATAGCAATATCTTCTTCAGTAATAGTCCACACTGAAATGTTCAAAGTTCACTGATACCTGAAACAAATTCACATCCTTCGCCGAATACTCAGTTCAGAACATACATGAAACAAAAGAATCACAACTCACTCTTCCCGCAGAATCCTTCCGTGGAAAACACCGGAAATAATAGCAACAATTCACTCACTACTCCTTCCCCGCAGAATATTCCAATGGGCACATCTTGTTCACCGGTCTGGTGAGAATACTCTGTCCTACTTGTACGTCCACCACTCTGACGTGTCTGTCACTTCCGGGATGAATCTTGACGATTGTTCCTAGGGGCCAATGTCCTCTTGCTGTATCAGAAGATATCAACATCACGCGTCGCCGCCGACACGTAGATCCTTGCACTGGGTGGTCCACTTCTTTCTTGTATTGAGGCTGGGCAACCACTCACGCATCCATCGCCTCCAGAAATGACGTACTAGCTCCTGAAGTCTTCTCCATCTCTTCCTTGGGTGATAATCCGTCTCGCCTGTCGACTCTGGTGCAAACATCCCTCCTTTCTGTCCATGGAGGAAATGATTCGTGTGAGGGGTTGACATCGAGAGGATGAGCACTTTGATACGCTTAGTGGACGCGAAGTTTATCAGTGCTTCTGCACCTGTGAAAACGGTGCCAAGTTCCTCATCTGTAACATCACTGGTGCTTAAAATAGCAAATATGGCACGCTTAGCTGACTTGATCATAGTTTCAACACTCCACCAAAGTGTGGCGATAAGGTGGATTAAAGTGCCATTTGATTCCCTTTGTTGGCCAAAGACCAAGTGGTGGTTCCTTTATCCAATGCTTCAAACAGTTGCTTCAGTTCCCTGACAGCTCCGACAAAGTTCGGCCCCATTGTCAGAAATGACGCCAGATGGTAGCCCTCTTCTGTTCACCATCCTAAAGAATGCATTCAGAAATGCATCTGTATCCATACTGTTTGCCATTTCTAGATGGACAGCTCTTGTTGATAAACAAGTAAAAGACACAGGTACCGCTTTGTTACGTGTTTTTCCTCTGCCATGGACGGTGAGGAACGGACCTGCAAAATTAACTGCTATTTTGCTGAAGGCACGGCGATACTTGAAGCCTGAACTTGGGCAAAGGCTTCATAACTTGTTGAATTGGTTTTGCTTTCATTATATGACAGCGGGAGCACTCTTTCCCATTCACGTGATAACTTCTCTAGCAGAGACTATCCAGTATTTTGAAGACAATGCTGCCAAAGTCTGATTTGTCCCTGATACATGATGGCCAGCCTCATGATACGATTTCACAATAAGTTTTGTTATCCAACTTCTCCGAGGTAGAATAATCGAAAATCGTGGCGCATAAGGCAAACATTCTGCATCTGTCAACCGACCACTTAACCTCATCACTCCATGTTCATCTAACTGTGGGTGTAGTGGTGAGATCTTTGAAGAACCTAGTATAGGTTTCTTGGACATCAGGGACGAATATTCTTTTGAAAATTCTTCACTTTGGGTTTGAACAATGATTCTGTTTGCAGCATCTTCCAGCTCTTCCAGAGATAATTCTCCTGAGACTCTACTATCAACTGGCGCACAACAGTTAGTTATGAACCTGAAACCCAGGCATTCACACGAGTAAGTCTTTTCCAGTTGGAAAATCTTGCAGGATCAAGCCTCCAGTTTGGATCAGGATCCACAACTGCAACCATGGTAACTGCCTGTGTTTTCCTTTCTCTGTCATCAATATCAGATACCAAGCTTTTGTCTGTTGGCCATTCAGTTTCACCTTTCGTTAGAAAAGTAGGCCCCTGACCACCACAACTGACTGTTTTTTAACTGTAAAGCTGTGGCACCTCTTGTTAAGAGATCTGCAGGATTGTCGATGGAGGGAACATATCTCCATTGTGATGGATTTGTGGCACAATGTATCTCTCCGACTCTGTTTGCCACAAAAGGTTTGAATGTTCTGCTGTTGTTTCTAAGCCAACACAAAACATTCACGCTTATCTGACCAAAATGTTACTGTTGCAATATCTACTTTTAGAACACTGCATATTTCTGAAACCAGTCTAACACCAACAATTGCAGCCATCAATTCAAGACGAGGTATGCTTATAGACTGCAGTGGAGCTACTCGACTCTTTGCAGATACCAGCCTACTTGAAGTTTTGTCGTTCAGGTAAGTATGAACAGCATAAACAGCAGCCAGATGCATCCTGGGAAGCATCCACAAAACAGTGTAGATGCATTGTTTCTACACAACTGCTCAGACGGAGACATCTTGGTATTTCAAGGGTTTGTATTTCTGTCCACTGTTCTAACCATTGTCTTATTTTGTTTTGCAGATACTGTGGGAGACATTCGTCCCAATCCTGTCCAGTCAACCATATTTCCTGAAGGAGGATCTTAGCATTTATAATAAAGGGGCTTATAAGACCAAGGGGATCGAAAAGTCTCGAAACATGACTCAGGAAATCCCTCTTTGATTTTGCTTCCTGTGGATTGATTAGTGTACTGAACGTGAACATATCACTCTCAGCGACCCACATTAATCCAAGTGTTTTTACCGATGGTAAATGCCCTTTGCTGAGATCGATTTCTGCAATTCTGTCTTCCACAGGAATGTTATCAAGAATTCTCAACGAGTTTGACAGCCATTTTCTCAAGATGCATAGCAGCACCTGACCACAGTTCATTCAACTGCTTGTACAGCTCTAAGCCCTCATCCTCATTCTCAACCGAGTCCATACTGTCGTCCATATATGTGGATTCTAAGACAGTCTCAGCAGCTCGAGGAAGATCTGCCTGATGCAGTTTAGCATGCTGTTGGGATACAAATTGGGCTAAGAAGGGAGAGGAAGTATTGCCAAATACTACTCGATTAAACTGATACACTTCTGGAGTAATGGTTGAATTCATAGACCTCCATAAGAACCTATGAAAGGGTCTATCGCTTGGAGCAAGTTCTATCTGCAGAAACATCTCTGCTATATCGCAGATAATTCCAACTGGATACCTGCGGAACCTCAACAACACATCAAAAAGCTCACTGTGAAGCTTGGGACCAGGATCAATCGTATCATTCAGTGAAATATTCTTGTATCTCGCTGATGCATCAAACACTATCCTGACTTTTGTTGTAGCCTTATCAGGGCTATTACAATTGGAAAGGGTGGCAAATACCATTGGCATTCATCTGGTTCATTCTGTGATACTTTGGAAATATACCCCTTTTTCTCATATTCAGAGATTACATTGTCATATGCCTGTGCAACGTGGTTGTCTTTCTTCAACCTCTTTTCAGTGCTAATGAGTCTTCGGAGGGCCATGTCATAATTATTTGGAAGACGTGGAACCTCTTGTTTCCACAGTATTCCTACCTGATAACGGCCTTTCTCAAATACAAGTGATTCATGTGCTTTTTCTAGCAATTGTTTCTCATTGGTGCTCAGCGTCTGTCGAGGACTATTTACCTCCTCAACCTCCCAAAAGTTCCTCACCAATGAAGATAACTCGGCATCAGGACCATGTGTATAATATGCATATGAGCAATGAGTCTGTGAAGCTAACTGTCCTATATTGCCAATACAAGTCCACCCCAGAGGTGTCCTTTCTGGCTGCATAGGATCACCTAGCTGACCTGTGATGTCTTCATACGACTGATGAAGCTGTAGGTAATCAATTCCTATTAAGAGATCTACTTTGGGATTCCGTCCAATAACTGGGAAACTGATGTTCTGCAAATGATACCACTTATCCTTATGCTTTTCCCAGTCAATCACCTGCATATCACCTGTTACACGTGTCGTCGTAAGTGCTGACATGTCAAGACTGATGTCGCCACTTACACTTTCAATTTGAAAACTGACTGACTTTGACTGAAATGTTTCTGTATTGCCATTCAATACATTTACAGAAACTGTTTGCGTTGGTCCCTGGAGTCCCAATTCTGAAGCTACATCGTCATTCAGATAGGACCTACTACTAGCATCATCTAGTAACGCATTCACACAAATCCTTCTTTTACCATTTGTGAGAATAACTGGCACAGTTCTGAGAGCTACCGATGGCTTCTTAGGCTCTGGTTTTGGAAATGTAGTGTGGGCTCTTTCAGAACAACTATCATTCTGAGTCTGAGGCCTCACCTTAGATTCCTTATCTACTTCTACAATATAGTGACCGTCTGAAATTCTTATGTCTGGCTTCGACAAAAGAGCTGTATTTGTTGTCGGCGTTTTGTTTGAATTTGCTGAATCATGCAAAAGTCTGTTGTGTGTTTTAATACAACCACCGATACCACACTGTGTGATTATCTTACACTTGGAACCAATGTGAGTGTAGCCAAGACACCGAAAACAGGCACTATGCTTTTTGGCAGTGTCCCATCTATCACAGACACTCATGTTCTTGAATTCACGACACCTCCATAACTCATGGTTATCCCCACAGACTTTACATGAAGTATTTCTTTGAGAAGGGGTGCTTTGATGCAACTGGTTAGTGACAAATGTACAGGAACTTTTACCTTTGTAATCTGATGCTTTACCTTTTGTGCTAGTCCATGTACAGTTTCAGAAGCTATGGTCTGATACTCAGACTCTTGTAGTATCCATTCTCTCAGAGATTCTACACTTTCCTGGCGCTCACCATCGTGAAGCCATCTTTGATATTATGCGATATCATTGTTTCGGTCATTTTCTTTAGCAGAATGTTGTATAGCAATCCATTGCCCAATTCCTCAAACCTATCAGCCTCTCTTAGGTTAGCAACTGCTATATCTAACACGCCTGCAAATTTCTCAAGGTCCTTAGCACAGCCTTGACCGAATAGGTTTGAAATTACTCAGTGTTTCTAACTGTAAGGAAACCTGCCGTTTTTCCTCCATACTTTCGTTCCAAGCGTTCTAATGCCATGTCATACATACAGAGCTATGCCCTAACCCTTCAATTACTTTCAAAGCACTGCCTGATAAGTATTGCCGTAACTGCAGAAGTTTATACTCCGCGGTAGCTGGTGAACGATCGACACGTCGTAACAAATGCAGCTTTCCAGCTTTCATACATTTTGACGTCACCAGAGAACAGCGGAATTGATACCCGTTTAAGCTGCTTCCACATATCATTTCCTATAGCTCTACTAGGTGACTGTGGAATAAAACAACTTTGCACTTCACTACAAGTTGGTTGTCCAGGCAATTTGTTTGGCTGGTGTTCATGAGTGGACTCTACAGAAACATTACTCTTGACATCGTCTTTCGTCCTGTCATTAAACAACCTGTCAATTGTGTACATTGACCGCGATTTGGCATCTGACCTTTGATCTAGGTACATCTGTGCTGTGTTTATAGCTTCAGCAGTTTCAGTTTCAATACAACTTATTTCATTTTCAATTTGTTCTACTTTCTTAGCCTGTTTATTTCTAACATAAGCCCGTGAAAGCTTTACCATGACATCTATTGCCTTGTTCTGAAGAGAATTTATTTTGTCTATGCCTTCCCGAACCGTTCTCCGAGATGGTAAATCCTCAGTTTCTATCAAATTATTTAACTTATTCTTAGCTTTTGTAAATGCTGACTTAGCATTTGCTTTCTGTTGCTTAAGTGTCAAAATGTTCTCTATCAAAGACCATTCTTTGTCTACAACATTTGACTTCTGTTCAGAGACCTCAGTCCCTTTTAAACTATCACTTGGTTTTTCAGTCATACTGTTTGAAATGCTAACAGACACAATGTTACATACCTACGTCTCTACACTCTACACATGCATACCTACGTCTCTACACTCAACACATACATACCTACCTCTCTACGCTCAACACAGACATACCTACGTCTCTACACTCAACACATACATACCTACGCCTCTAACACATACATACCTAGACTCTACCCAACACAGATATACCTACACTCAACACATACATACCTACGTCTCTACACTGAACATAGACATACCTACGTCTCTACACTCAACACATACATACCTACGTCTCTATACTCAACACATACATACCTACGTCTCTACACATGCATACCTACGTCTCTACACTCAACACATACATACCTACGTCTCTACACTCAACACAGACATACCTACGTCTCTACGCTCAACACATACATACCTACGTCTCTATACTCAACACATACATACCTACGTCTCTACACTCAACACATACATACCTACATCTCAACACAGACACATACATACCCCACGCCTCTACACTCAACACATACATACCTACATCTCATAAATACACACACTCACACATACATACCTACATCTCAACACAGACACATACCTACGACCATCTTGCTTGAGTTTTTCTTGAGAGGAGGGTTTGGTGTCGTTATCTTCTTGCTGGCACTGACTGAAACACGGATATCAAGTCTTCTTCACCTTCAGGCCTACCAAAGAAAACTTTCCCACTGTGCAGAAAAACACTGAAAAGTCCACATTAATCGTGGAAATAGCAACATAAACATAATACCTCGCTACTGAAACAGTAAAAACGGCAACTTTAAATTGCTAAAACTGGATAAAAAAAGAAGAGCCTGCAACTTTGATTTCGCGAAGGCACACAAGGAGGACATTTTCCAGCTTGGATAAAAGATACATTCCCTTTTTAAAGTATTTGTGTTGTGTTATTTGGCATTTATTATCATGATACTTGTGTGCACACTTGTTTAGTTTACTTTCCATTCGTATGAAATGATCGACAGCAATTATTTCGACATATTCAATACTTTTTATTTCCATGTACAGTAAAGGTCAAAGTTCACTGTCATGAAAATGTTGCAGTTTCATAGTCTTTCGTTGCCGTTTTAACTGTTTCAGTAGCGAGGTTATATGTTTATGTTGCTATTTCCATGATTAATGTGGACTTCTCTGCGTTTTTCTGCACAGTGGGAAAGTTTTCTTCGGTTGGCCTGACCTTGTGAAGCCAAGTTGAGAGGTGGTAGAGTCTACTCGACTGACACCCCCACCACTGTTATCCCCTCAACAGCACCTAACTCTCACCTTGTGAGGTGGTAGAGTCCACTCGACTGACACCCCCACCACTGTTATCCCCTTAACAGCACCTAACTCTCACCTTGTGAGGCGGTAGAGTCCACTGGACTGACACCCCCACCACTGGTATACCACTCGACTGACACCCCCACCACTGGTACACCCTCAACAGCACCTAGCTCTCACCTTGTGAGACCGGCTTGTGCGTCGGTAGGGCACTGGTCTCCTCCTCGTCAGAACTCTCGTCTGGGGTACCCGCATCTCCAACTCTGTATCTGTAAAACACAATACAACACTGCAACCTTCGCCAACACAGTGGGCAGGGTTTTCTCCAACATGTGGAAATGTATATTTCCCCTGACACATGCTGTATTTCCCCTGACACATTTTGTATTTCCACTAACACGTTTTGTATTTCCCTGACATGCCATATCCCCAGACACATGCCATATCCCCTGACACATGCCGTATCCCCTGACACATGCCGTATCCCTGACACATGCTGTATCCCCTGACACATGCCATATCCCCTGACACATGTCGTATCCCCTGTAACATGCCGTATCCCCTGACACATGCTGTATCCCCTGACACATGCCACATTCCCTGACACATGCCGCATCCCGACAAATGCTGTATCCCCTGACACATGCCATATCCCCTGACACATGTCTTATCCCCTGACACATGCTGTATCCCCTGACACATGCCACATTCCCAGACACATGTCACATCCCCTGACAAATGCTGTGACACATGCCATATCCCCTGACACATGCCATATCCCCTGACACATGCCGTATCCCCTGACACATGCCGTATCCCTGACACATGCTGTATCCCCTGACACATGCCATATATCCCAACACATGTACACATGCCATATCCCCTGACATCCCAACACATGCCGTATCCCCTGACAAATGCTGTATCCCCTGACACATGCCATATCCCCTGTCACATGTCATATCCCCTGACACATGCTGTATCCCCTGTCACATGCTGTATTTCATCCCCTGGCACATGACACATGCTGTATCCCCTGACACATGCAGTATCCCCTGACACATGCTGTATTATCCTGACACATGCTGTATCCCCTGACACATGCTGTATTTCTGACATACTGCATTCCTCTCCCCTGACACATGCTGTATTTCCCTGACACATGCTGTATTTCCTGACACATGCTGTACTTCCCTGACACATGCTGTATTCCCTGACACATGCTGTACTTCCCTGACAAATGATGTATCCTGACACATGCTGCTATTTCCCCTGTATTCCCTGACATACTGTATTTGACCTCACACATGCTACACCTGATGCTGTACACACTCTTCCCATACTGACACATGCTGTATTTCCCTGAGAAATATCGTATTACCTGACACATGATGTATTCCCTGACTCATGGTGTCTGGACTTACTTCCTCCATGGCAGGAGCTTCTTCTGCTTGTAGCTGTCCACAATCCACTGCTTGGTGACAATCCGGCCACGCCCCTCCACTTGCTGGTACTTGGGGGTGTTGTCAAACGCACATCTATGTGAAAGACATAGTTAGAAATGGAGAGACAAGACAAAACAGCTGGGAGAGACATGTACACAGCTGGGAGAGACATGGGGAGACATATATATACAGCTGGGAGGGACATGGAGAGACATGTGTAAACAGCTAGGAGAGACATGCAGAGACATGTACACAGCTGGGAGAGACATGGAGAGACATATGTATACACGTGGGAGAGACATGGAGAGACATATCTAAAGAGCTAGGAGAGACATGGAGAGACATATATACAGCTGGGAGAGACATGGAGAGACATATATATACAGCTGGGAGGGACATGGAGAGACATGTGTAAACAGCTAGGAGAGACATGCAGAGACATGTACACAGCTGGGAGAGACATGGAGAGACATATGTATACACGTGGGAGAGACATGGAGAGACATATCTAAAGAGCTAGGAGAGACATGGAGAGACATATATACAGCTGGGAGAGACATGGAGAGACATATATATACAGCTGGGAGGGACATGGAGAGACGTGTAAACAGCTAGGAGAGACATGCAGAGACATGTACACAGCTGGGAGAGACATGGAGAAACTACATAGCTGCATGCGACTCACATTAGGTGTGTACAGCCCCGCCCCCAGTCTGGACGATACTTGGCCCCCATCTCCAGAGCCTTGTCTCTCAGTTCTGTGCGGTAGGGGTTCTGGTAGCCACTCATTACAAACACAACCTTGTCCATCAACTTGTGGAACGCCTTGGCCGGTGATGTCTTTGGAGGCTCCGCTAGAAAAACAAGATGACGTGTACGACTCTACACAAACACAACCTTGTCCATCAACTTGTGGAACGCCTTGGCCGGTGATGTATTTGTAGGCTCCGCTAGAAAAACAAAATGACGTGTACGACTCTACACAAACACAACCTTGTCCATCAACTTGTGGAACGCCTTGGCGGTCATGTCTTGTATTTGGAGGCTATGCTTGACAAACAAAATGGCGCCTAATCATGTCTTTGGAGGCTCCGCTAGACTCTACACAAAAACACAACCTTGTCCATCAACTTGTGGAACGCCTTGGCGGTCATGTCTTTGGAGGCTATGCTTGACAAACAAAATGTCCATCGTGGCCGGTCATGTCGACTCTACACAAACACATTCGCTCACATACGCCCACCATAACCTACACACATCCCACCTAATCAGATACACCAATCGTTTGGTTTTGTGTATCGTGGCCGGACATGACAATTAGTTGCACAAATTCTCTTGAAGGGTGGGGCATTTCACACTAACATTTAGTTCTCTTGAGGGGTGGAAGATGTTACACATGCATTTAGTTTTCTTGAGGGGTGGGGCATGTCACACCTACATTTAGTTAAGGGGTGGGGCATGTCACATACATTTAGTTCTCTTGAGGGGTGGGGCATGTCACACATACATTTAGTTCTCTTGAGGGGTGGGGCATGTCACACATACATTTAGTTCTCTTGAGGGGTGGGGGATGTCACACCTACATTTAGTTCTCTTGAGGGGAGGGGTATGTCACACCTACATTTAGTTCTCTTGAGGGGAGGGGTGGAGAATGTCACACCTACATTTAGTTCTCTTGAGGGGTGGGGCATGTCACACCTACATTTAGTTCTCTTCTCTTGAGGGGTGGGGCATGTCACATACATTTAGTTCTCTTTTGAGGGGTGGGGCATGTCACACCTACATTTAGTTCTCTTGAGGGGAGGGGCATGTCACACATACATTTAGGGGTTGTCACACCTTGAGTTCTCTTGGGGTGGGGCATGTCACATACATTTAGTTCTCTTGAGGGGAGGGGCATGTCACACATACACATTTTGAGTTCTCTTGAGGGGTGGGGCATGTCACACATACATTTAGTTCTCTTGAGGGGAGGGGCATGTCACACCTACATTTAGTTCTCTTGAGGGGTGGGGCATGTCACACCTACATTTAGTTCTCTTGAGGGGTGGGGCATGTCACACACCTACATTTAGTTCTCTTGAGGGGTGGGGAATGTCACACACCTACATTTAGTTCTCTTGAGGGGTGGGGTGTGTCACACCTACATTTAGTTCTCTTTGAGGGGTGGGGCATGTCACATACATTTAGTTCTCTTGAGGGGTGGGGCATGTCACACCTACATTTAGTTCTCTTGAGGGTGGGGTGTGTCACACATACATTTAGTTCTCTTGAGGGGTGGGGCATGTCACACCTACATTTAGTTCTCTTGAGGGGAGGGGTGTCACATACACACATACATTTAGTTCTCTTGAGGGGTGGGGTGGGGGCATGTCACATACATTTAGTTCTCTTGAGGGGAGGGCATGTCACACCTACATTTAGTTCTCTTGAGGGGAGGGGCATGTCACACCTACATTTAGTTCTCTTGAGGGGTGGGGCATGTCACACCTACATTTAGTTCTCTTGAGGGGTGGGGCATGTCACACCTACATTTAGTTCTCTTGAGGGGAGGGGTGGATGTCACACCTACATTTAGTTCTCTTGAGGGGTGGGGTATGTCACACCTACATTTTAGTTCTCTTGAGGGGTGGGGCATGTCACACACATTTAGTTCTCTTGAGGGGTGGGGCATGTCACACCTACATTTAGTTCTCTCTTGAGGGGGCATGTCAGGGGCATGTCACACATACATTTAGTTCTCTTGAGGGGTGGGGCATGTCACATACATTTAGTTCTCTTGAGGGGAGGGGGTGTCACACATACATTTAGTTCTCTTGAGGGGTGGGGCATGTCACATACATTTAGTTCTCTCTTGAGGGGTGGGGCATGTCACATACATTTAGTTCTCTTGAGGGGTGGGGTATGTCACACCTACATTTAGTTCTCTTGAGGGGAGGGGTATGTCACACCTACATTTAGTTCTCTTGAGGGGTGGGGAATGTCACACCTACATTTAGTTCTCTTGAGGGGTGGGGCATGTCACACCTACATTTAGTTCTCTTGAGGGGAGGGGCATGTCACACCTACATTTAGTTCTCTTTGAGGGGTGGGGCATGTCACATACATTTAGTTCTCTTGAGGGGTGGGGCATGTCACACATACATTTAGTTCTCTTGAGGGGTGGGGTATGTCACACCATACATTTAGTTCTCTTGAGGGGTGGGGCATGTCACACCTACATTTAGTTCTCTTGAGGGGTGGGGCATGTCACACCTACATTTAGTTCTCTTGAGGGGGGGGGGGAGGTGTCACACCTACATTTAGTTCTCTTGAGGGGGGGGGTGATGTCACACCTACATTTAGTTCTCTTGAGGGGTGGGGCATGTCACACCTACATTTAGTTCTCTTGAGGGGTGGGGCATGTCACACCTACATTTAGTTCTCTTGAGGGGTGGGGCATGAATGTCACACATACATTTAGTTCTCTTGAGGGGAGGGGCATGTCACACATACATTTAGTTCTCTTGAGGGGTGGGGCATGTCACACATACATTTAGTTCTCTTGAGGGGTGGGGCATGTCACACCTACATTTAGTTCTCTTGAGGGGTGGGGCATGTCACATACATTTAGTTCTCTTGAGGGGTGGGGCATGTCACACCTACATTTAGTTCTCTTGAGGGGTGGGGCATGTCACACATACATTTAGTTCTCTTGAGGGGTGGGGCATGTCACACATACATTTAGTTCTCTTGAGGGGTGGGGCATGTCACATACATTTAGTTCTCTTGAGGGGTGGGGCATGTCACACCTACATTTAGTTCTCTTGAGGGGTGGGGCATGTCACATACATTTAGTTCTCTTGAGGGGTGGGGCATGTCACACCTACATTTAGTTCTCTTGAGGGGAGGGGTATGTCACACATACATTTAGTTCTCTTGAGGGGGGGGGGGCATGTCACACATACATTTAGTTCTCTTGAGGGGGGTGGGGTATGTCACACCTACATTTAGTTCTCTTGAGGGGTGGGGGCATGTCACACACACCTACATTTAGTTCTCTTGAGGGTGGGGGAATGTCACACATACATTTAGTTCTCTTGAGGGGGGGGGCATGTCACACATACATTTAGTTCTCTTGAGGGGAGGGGTATGTCACACCTACATTTAGTTCTCTTGAGGGAGTGGGGCATGTCACACCTACATTTAGTTCTCTTGAGGGGGGTGTCACACCTACATTTAGGGGGGATGTCACACCTACATTTAGTTCTCTTGAGGGGTGGGGGCATGTCACACCTACATTTAGTTCTCTTGAGGGGGGGTGGGCATGTCACACCTACATTTAGTTCTCTTGAGGGGGGGGGGGTATGTCACACCTACATTTAGTTCTCTTGGAGGGTGGGGGGGAGGGGTGTCACACCTACATTTAGTTCTCTTGAGGGGTGGGAGAATGTCACACATACATTTAGTTCTCTTGAGGGGTGGGGTATGTCACACCTACATTTAGTTCTCATGAGGGGGGGTATGTCACACCTACATTTAGTTCTCTTGAGGGGGGGTGGGGTATGTCAGGGGTGGGGCACCTACATTTAGTTCTCTTGAGGGGTGGGGTATGTCACACCTACATTTAGTCCTACATTTAGTTCTCTTGAGGGGTGGGGTATGTCACACCTACATTTAGTTCTCTTGAGGGGTGGGGTATGTCACACCTACATTTAGTTCTCTTGAGGGGTGGGGTATGTCACACCTACATTTAGTTCTCTTGAGGGGTGGGGTATGTCACACCTACATTTAGTTCTCTTGAGGGGTGGGGTATGTCACACCTACATTTAGTTCTCTTGAGGGGTGGGGTATGTCACACCTACATTTAGTTCTCATGAGGGGAGGGGTGGAGAATGTCACACCTACATTTAGTTCTCTTGAGGGGTGGGGTATGTCACACCTACATTTAGTTCTCTTGAGGGGAGGGGTATGTCACACCTACATTTAGTTCTCTTGAGGGGTGGGGTATGTCACACCTACATTTAGTTCTCTTGTGGGGTGGAGAATGTCACACCTACATTTAGTTCTCTTGAGGGGTGGGGTGTGTCACACCTACATTTAGTTCTCATGAGGGGAGGGGTATGTCACACATACATTTAGTTCTCATGAGGGGAGGGGTATGTCACACATACATTTAGTTCTCATGAGGGGAGGGGTATGTCACACATACATTTAGTTCTCATGAGGGGAGGGGTATGTCACACATACATTTAGTTCTCATGAGGGGAGGGGGGTGTCACACCTACATTTAGTTCTCTTGAGGGGTGGGGCTGCTTCATCTCGTGAGGAGGAGGAAATTGTGGAGGTGAGACTGCTGGACTGTTTCCTGAGTGGCGTCTTCACTGGCATCACGGGCACTTCCTCATCACTGCTGACATCATGCTTCCGCTTTGCCTGGGAACAAACATTGATACCTACTAATAAGCAAGGTTTGAGAATGAACAACTGATGTTGGAAACCTAGTGGATAGTGGAGCACAGGAGGAAGGTATTACCGGACTAGGCTTAGCTTGTGGTGGGGTGTCTGTTTTCTTCTCTTCTCTCTTGCCCTCACTACTCGATGACCTTGACCCTTCCGCCATCTTAGATGCGACTCTCACTGCTGCAGCACCTGGAGAGAGTTTGTGAATAAATGTCTGTACACTATGTACCTATAACGTAGATACCATTTTTAGGGGTATGTATTCACCTTTATTACCCACGAGGTCAACGTATGGGTAGTTGCATACTAATCTCGTACGTCACACGAGTGTCGTATCGCGTTGACCTGTGTCGTAACGACTTGACCTGAAATTCTAACGATTTGATTGGATAACCGATGACCTCTCAATTAGGTCACATTCTGACGTAACTATTTTTTCATTCATAACAAACACGTGAATTCATTCATTCTACAACTTAAATGCATTGTGGGAATGTAAACATTGCGAACGTTGCCGTGTCGCTGTTTAATTGTGAGTCGAACTGAGACATTATATCCATCGAAAAACATAAACGCAATGTTTCCACCAGTGATGCTAGCGAGAATGAAGCAGCTGCAAACCAAGAAACGAGGTGCTACGGAGTAGTTTACTGTAGGAGGCTGTACGAGGCGATGACAACTGACATGCATCGTGACGTCGGCTACCAACGCAGTGACGTCATTACAGTGTGACGTCATGCAAATATTGCACTACAGTACAAAACTCTTCCGCAACCTCTTTATGAAACCGGTTTCGGTTTGAAACCAAAAACATAACAAAAATACGCTATTTTGTCAATTTAATGCATGTAAGACGTGGGTAATAAATAAAATACCACACTCGGTCTCATTACATACGAATTATACGAAGCTCGTGACTTTCCTATGTTATCTGACCTCGTTTCGTATAATTCGTAGGTAATGAGACCTCGTGTAGTATTCTCTATACATGTCCACTAGCTTTTCACACCAAGTCTAAAAGTTGTTCACTCTATGTACCAGGTGTTCACTCTATGTACTAGGTGTTCACTCTATGTACCTGGTGTTCACTTTAAGCACCAGGTGTGCACTCTATGTACTAGGTGTTCATTCTATGTACAGGTTTTCACTTTAAGCACCAGGTGTTCACACTTTGTACCAGGTGTTCATTCTATGTGCCAGGCATTCACTCTATGTACCTGGTGTTCACTCTATGTACCAGGTGTTCACTTTATGTACCAGGCGTTCACTCTATGTATCTTGTGTTCACTCTATGTGCCAGGTGTTCACTTCATATACCAGGTGTTCACTCTATGTACCAGGTGTTCACTCTATGTACCAGGTGTTCACTCTATTTACCTGATGTTCACTCTATGTACCTGATGTTCACTCTGTGTACCTGGTGTTCACTCCATGTACCAGGTCTTCACTCTATGTACCAGGTGTTCACTCTATGTACGAAGTGTTTACTCTATGTACCTCACGTTCACTCTAAGCACCAGGTGTTCACTATATGTACTAGGTGTTCACTCTATGTACTAGGTGTTCACTCTATGTACTAGGTGTTCACTCTATGTATCAGGTGTTCACTCTATGTACCTGGTGTTCACTCTATGTACCAGGTGTTCACTCTATGTACGAAGTGTTTACTCTATGTACCTCACGTTCACTCTAAGCACCAGGTGTTCACTATATGTACTAGGTGTTCACTCTATGTATCAGGTGTTCACTCTATGTACCTGGTGTTCACTCTTTGTACCAGGTGTTCACTCTATGTACCAAGTGTTCACTCTATGTACCTGGTGTTCACTCTATGTTCACTCTATGTACCAGGTGTTCACTCTATGTACCAGGTGTTCACTCTATGTACCTGGTGTTCACTCTATGTACCAAGTGTTCACTCTATGTACCAAGTGTTTACTCTATGTACCTCACGTTCACTCTAAGCACCAGGTGTTCACTATATGTACCAGGTGTTTACTATATGTACCAGGTGTTCACTCTATGTACCTGGTGTTCCATCTATGTGCCAGGTGTTCACTCTATGTACCAAGTGTTCACTCTATGTACGAAGTGTTTACTCTATGTGCCTCACATTCACTCTAAGCACCAGGTGTTCACTATATGTACCAGGTGTTCACTATATGTACCAGGTGTTCACTCTATGTACCTGGTGTTCCATCTATGTGCCAGGTGTTCACTCTATGTACCAGGTGTTCACTTTATGTACCTGGTGTTCTTAATATATCTCAGAGGTATTCACTCTATGTACCCAGGCATTCACTCTATGTGCCAGGTGTTCACTATGTACCAGGTGTTCACTCTAAGCACCAGGTGTTCACTCTATGTACTTGGTGTTCACTATGTTCCAGGAGTTCAGTTTATGTACCAGGTGTTCACTCTATGTACTTGGTGTTTATTCCATGTAACAAGTATTCCCTCTTTGCACATGTATTATCCAACCTTTAAGGGGAGGTGGCTCCAATGTTTCATTCCTCTTGGCAAACAGAGCTCCCACTTTGATATCGTCACTCTCAGGAGTCTTCAGCTTGAAGGCACCCAGCGTCTTTTGTGTGGGAGTTTTCTGTCAAGTACAAGAGTGTTGGGTATTGGACTGTAGCATGCTGAGGGGTTGGGGGGTAATGGTGCAAAAATGGCCAGATTTACAAAGTACCAAACCCTTAAAAGTCATTTTCAGTAGTTCTGCTTTGCATAGACAACAGCTGATGATTTCACAGAAATTACAACAGAAATTACAACAGAAGTATACATCACAGACCTGACTTCTATACATCAGACCTGACTTCTATACATCACAGACCTGACTTCTATACATCACAGACCTGACTTCTATACATCACAGACCTGACTTCTATACATCAGACCTGACTTCTATACATCACAGACCTGACTTCTATACATCACAGACCTGACTTCTATACATCACAGACCTGACTTCTATACATCAGACCTGACTTCTATACATCACAGACCTGACTTCTATACATCACAGACCTGACTTCTATACATCACAGACCTGACTTCTATACATCAGACCTGACTTCTATACATCACAGACCTGACTTCTATACATGGCAGTACACATGAACAGACTTCATTAGTTTCATATCATTCAACATTTGGATTCTTATTCCATTGTCAAGCACGCAGTTTGACATTTGCTGACTGCCTTTGTAGCAGTGTTGGTGTACACCAAGCATATCTCATCCCATCTGCCTGCAATGACCTGATAAAACTACACTGACTCCAGCTATAATTACTAATCAATCTCATCAACTCTGTACAGTTCTCACATGTAGCTGACTCCCTCCTGTTGTTATGGCATTAACCAATATCTCCTCATCCTCGATAATTTCCAGGGTATACGTTACGATCACTATACCCAGGATGCATCCACGGCTTGGCCCGATACATTCGTGACCAACTTGTGGTATTTCGGGACAAGCCGAATAGCGACTTGTGCCCCTCCGGAAGGATTTCATATTGGCGCATGAACATCAGAACTACTTTAAACAGGAATGATAACTCTATTCTTGATGTCTTTCAGTGGCATTTAGAAGTTATACATTGATGTCCAAGATATTTTTATGGATTAAACTTCTTTTTTAATTTCTCTCATTCCAGGTCCCTTCCAGGAAGGGACCTGGAATGGTCTCGAAACGTTGTGAGAGAAATTAAAAAAGAAGTTTAATCCATAAAAATATCTTGAACTCTATTCTTGTTCGATTCCAATGGTACTTTATATCACCGAGGGCAATCGTACATTGTATTGCTGTTTATGTTTTTAAACTATTAAACCTTTTTGATACAACTAAAAGAAGGAGGAAAACTTATTTGTTACAGACTTATTCTGACTTAATTATTACCAGATGTTCACCTTATATTTCCAATTATATTTCAGAGAAGGGTTTGATTATCACAAATGGGATTTGTTTTATTAAATATGTAAATAAAATTTGTAAAAGCTACATTAAATGCCAAAGCAGAAACTCAAAAATGACTTTAAAATATTTCTCAAACTGAACATTCGTGTAACTTTGCTGTCATACATACACCAGGTGGAATTTTAAATGAATTCACTGAAAAATATATGAATGACCAAAAACAAAGTCAGACTAAAATATTCCCAGAGATGTGAAATATATGCCCAATGTTAAAGATTAAAGTTGATTAGTTACATGCAGATATATGTCTAATATTATTGTTTTGAAACTCGTAGCGATTTATAATTACATTTCCTAAATTTGTTGGAAGCGTGTGTAGAATCTCCATAGCAAGCATGCAAGATCGTCATAAATAATACCCTCAGTGGACCCATGAGAGTCGTTATGTCAACAAACGCCACGTGCGTGTATTTGAATCTCTCACCGTCAGTCGCATGATTCTTATCAAAAACTTCATTATAGGCAGCAAAATCCTGTTAGCTAAGTTCTTTGTACTTTCAATATGGCGATATATATTTTTCATGATTTCTTAAACAATGACATAATGCCATAAACGATTTAAGTACTCAGGATTATTTTTATCAAAGCACCACAGTCATTTACGTGCGTTCTGATTGGTTTGTTGTATTTTCGCCCATAACAAGCATCAAATGGGGGACAAGTCTTCTAGGAGGTTATGGAAAGAGGCCAGTGGTGACGAATGGGCCCGATAATTATATTACCTCCCTTTGCTGACTTTTTATCCAATCAGGTGTCTACGCTGGGAAGTTGAGCGAACCAATCACAACTCACTTTCGCTTCTTAAATTATCTAACTGTTAAACTTGGCAACACAATTGAAAGAGAGGTAGAAGGAGTGCTTTCATATATTTTTCAGAGTTTCAAATCTGTCAATTTGTCTGTATGATTTCCCAAAAAATCTGAGTGGCGCTGCAAACAAACCTTCGCTACTGCGACCGCAATCTTCATTGACACTGGCAAGCTCGGATGTAACAGCGGCTAAGCTGATTGGCTACTGTGAAATGCGTCGCCAGCAAAGGGAGGTAATATAATTATCGGGCCAAGCCGTGGTTGCATCCAGGGTATAGTGGAGAGTGATCATAACATATACCCTGGAGATTATCGAGGATGATATCTCCCTTTCTGTGCTCTGTTTTATACACATGAGGAAAACACATTTTCCCTATCTCCGTATGTAGAGTGACATTACCACAAGGGGCATTAATGCCTTCAGGCCTAAGTGTGTGTATGTGCCTCACTAGCAAATACACCCACTTGGTAAATGGAGGTATGTGGCAGTATAACCGATGTTGGTCTACAGTCACTGTCAGTGGCAGAATACATTCAACTGACCATCTCAACAGCAGGCAACAGCAACACGTGGGACTTTCCAGGTGGAATTAGAGTTATCTGCCCCTCGTTGTATACACGTACAAAGCTCATTGAAATATCAGAGTTTCCAGAAGACTGGCTATATACAAGAGACTCGATTCAAGGCCTTTCTCAGCATGGCTAAATCTACATGTCAAGTACAGACCAGTTACCAGTCACAGGGGACATAGAAGAGTGGAATAAACAAACGTACATACCTCTGCTTCCCTCCCCGCGCCTGGAGCATGAAGCTTGATGAAGGACAACCCATAGGCAGCAGTCTGAATATAAAATAGGGCAGTACACACTGGAGGTGGATAACCTGATAACATCCTACATAACAGAAAGGTCCAGTACACACTGGAGGTGGATAACTTGATAACATCCTACATCACAGAATGGTCCAGTACACACTGCAGGTGGATAACCTGATAACATCCTACATGACAGAATGGTCCAGTACACACTGGAGGTGGATAACTTGATAACATCCTATACCACAGAATGGTCCAGTACACACTGCAGGTGGATAACTTGATAACATCCTACATAACAGAAAGGTCCAGTACACACTGGAGGTGGATAACCTGATAACATCCTACATCACAGAATGGTCCAGTACACACTGGAGGTGGATAACTTGATAACATCCTATATCACAGAATGGTCCAGTACACACTGGAGGTGGATAACCTGATAACATCCTACATCACAGAATGGTTCAGTACACACTGGAGGTGGATAACCTGATAACATCCTACATCACAGAATGGTCCAGTACACACTGGAGGTGGATAACCTGATAACATCCTACATCACAGAATGGTCCAGTACACACTGGAGGTGGATAACTTGATAACATCCTACATCACAGAATGGTTCAGTACACACTGGAGGTGGATAACCTGATAACATCCTACATGACAGAATGGTCCACATCCTACACACTGGAGGTGGATAACCTGATAACATCCTACATGACAGAATGGTCCAGTACACACTGGAGGTGGATAACCTGATAACATCCTACATGACAGAATGGTCCAGTACACACTGGAGGTGGATAACTTGATAACATCCTATCCCACAGAATGGTCCAGTACACACTGGAGGTGGATAACCTGATAACATCCTATATCACAGAATGGTCCAGTATACACTAGTGGTGGATAACCTGATAACATCCTACATCACAGAATTGTTCAGTATACACTGGAGGTGGATAACCTGATAACATCCTATATCACAGAATGGTTCAGCATACACTGGAGGTGGATAACCTGATAACATCCTATATCACAGAATGGTCCAGTACACACTGGAGGTGGATAACCTGATAACATCCTACATGACAGAATGGTCCAGTACACACTGGAGGTGGATAACTTGATAACATCCTATCATCACAGAATGGTCCAGCACACACTGGAGGTGGATAACCTGATAACATCCTATATCACAGAATGGTCCAGTATACACTGGAGTGGTGGATAACCTGATAACATCCTACATCACAGAATGGTTCAGGATACACTGTGGTGGATGACCTGATAACATCCTACATCACAGAATGGTTCAGTACACACTGGAGGTGGATAACCTGATAACATCCTACATCACAGAATGGTTCAGTATACACAAGTGGTGGATGACCTGATAACATCCTACATCACAGAATGGTTCAGTATACACTGGAGGTGGATAACCTGATAACATCCTACATCACAGAATGGTCCAGTACACACTGGAGGTGGATAACTTGATAACATCCTACATCACAGAATGGTCCAGTACACACTGGAGGTGGATTACCTGATAACATCCTACATCACAGAATGGTTCAGTACACACTGGAGGTGGATAACCTGATAACATCCTACATCACAGAATGGCCCAGTACACACTGGAGGTGGATAACCTGATAACATCCTACATCACAGAATGGTCCAGTACACACTGGAGGTGGATAACTTGATAACATCCTACATCACAGAATGGTTCAGTACACACTGGAGGTGGAAACCTTGATAACATCCTACATCACAGAATGGTCCACTACACACTGGAGGTGGATAACCTGATAACATCCTATATCACAGAATGGTCCAGTACACACTGGAGGTGGATAACCTGATAACATCCTACATGACAGAATGGTCCAGTACACACTGGAGGTGGATAACTTGATAACATCCTATCCCACAGAATGGTCCAGCACACACTGGAGGTGGATAACCTGATAACATCCTATATCACAGAATGGTCCAGTATACACTAGTGGTGGATAACCTGATAACATCCTACATCACAGAATGGTTCAGTACACACTGGAGGTGGATAACCTGATAACATCCTATATCACAGAATGGTTCAGCACACACTGGAGGTGGATAACCTGATAACATCCTATATCACAAAATGGTCCAGTACACACTGGAGGTGGATAACTTGATAACATCCTACATCACAGAATGGTTAAGCATACACTGGAGGTGGATAACCTGATAACATCCTACATCACAGAATGGTTCAGCAGTACACACTGGAGGTGGATAACTTGATAACATCCTACATCACAGAATGGTTAAGCATACACTGGAGGTGGATAACCTGATAACATCCTACATCACAGAATGGTTCAGCATACACTGGAGGTGGATAACTTGATAACATGCTATATCACAGAATGGTTCAGTACACTGGAGGTGGATAACCTGATAACATCCTACATCACAGAATGGTTCAGGATACACAAGAGGTGGATGACCTGATAACATCCTACATCACAGAATGGTTCAGCATACACTGGAGGTGGATAACCTGATAACATCCTACATCACAGAATGGTTCAGGATACACAAGTGGTGGATAACCTGATAACATCCTACATCACAGAATGGTTCAGGATACACAAGTGGTGGATGACCTGATAACATCCTACATCACAGAATGGTTCAGGATACACAAGTGGTGGATAACCTGATAACATCCTACATCACAGAATGGTTCAGGATACACAAGTGGTGGATGACCTGATAACATCCTACATCACAGAATGGTTCAGGATACACAAGTGGTGGATAACCTGATAACATCCTACATCACAGAATGGTTCAGGATACACAAGTGGTGGATAACTTGATAACATGCTATATCACAGAATGGTTCATTACACACTGGAGGTGGATAACCTGATAACATCCTACCTTACAGAAAGGCTGGGTACAGACTATCTTCACTCGATCCCATTTCTTGTCTGTCACAGCTCTGGACAGTTTATCCACTCCGAACATACGAACACTGTTCCTGTTGGTGCCGTTTCGGCTCTCCAAGGGAGTCATGAATGACGATGCCACCAAGATCACCTGGAAACACACATGACAGCTATATTGCATCACGAGACAGGTGACAGAAGCTGAGGGTGAACTACCTGATATACTACCTGGTAGTTGGTGTATATAGGACTGGGTGATGATGTACAGGGGGATATAGGATATACTACCTGGTAGTTGGTGTACAGGGTGATATAGGATATACTACCTGGTAGTTGGTGTACAGGGTGATATAGGACGCACTACCAGGTAGATGGTGTACAGGGTGATATAGGATATACTACCTGGTAGTTGGTGTACAGGGTGATATAGGATATACTACCTGGTAGTTGGTGTACAGGGTGATGTAGGATATACTACCTGGTAGTTGGTGTACAGGGTGATATAGGACACACTACCTGGTAGTTGGTGTACAGGGTGATATAGGACACACTACCAGGTAGTTGGTGTACAGGGTGATATAGGACACACTACCTGGTAGTTGGTGTACAGGGTGATATAGGATATACTACCTGGTAGTTGGTGTACAGGGTCATATAGGATATACTACCTGGTAGTTGGTGTACAGGGTGATATAGGACACACTACCTGGTAGTTGGTGTACAGGGTGATATAGGATATACTACCTGGTAGTTGGTGTACAGGGTGATATAGGACACACTACCTGGTAGTCGGTGTCAGCTGCAGCAGTTGACCTCCCCACCAACACCTCCACGAAGCCGGAGCCCTCATTGCCGATGTCAATACTGCTGATCTGGGAAGCACGCTCCAACTGTGGATCAAGGAAAATTTTATTACTCACAGACACCTACTGGCTATGGGATACAGTCAGGGGTATTGGTTATACTCACAGACACCTACTGGCTATGGGATACAGTCAGGGGTATTGGTTATACTCAATGACACCTACTGGCTATGGGATACAGTCAGGGGTATTGGTTATACTCACAGACACCTACTGGCTATGGGATACAGTCAGGGTATTGGTTATACAGTACTCACAGACACCTACTGGCTGGCTATGGGATACAGTCAGGGGTATTGGTTATACTCACAGACACCTACTGGCTATGGGATACAGTCAGGGTATTGGTTATACTCACACCTACTGGCTGGGATGGGATACAGTCACCTACTGGCTATGGTATTGGTTATACTCACAGACACCTACTGGCTATGGGATACAGTCAGGGTATTGGTTGGTTATACTCAGGGGTATTGGTTATACTCACAGACACCTACTGGCTATGGGATACAGTCAGGGTATTGGTTATACTCACAGACACCTACTGGCTATGGGATACAGTCAGGGGTATTGGTTATACTCACAGACACCTACTGGCTATGGGATACAGTCAGGGGTATTGGTTATACTCACAGACACCTACTGGCTATGGGATACAGTCAGGGTATTGGTTATACTCACAGACACCTACTGGCTATGGGATACAGTCAGGGTATTGGTTATACTCACAGACACCTACTGGCTATGGGATACAGTCAGGGGTATTGGTTATACTCACAGACACCTACTGGCTATGGGATACAGTCAGGGGTATTGGTTATACTCACAGACACCTACTGGCTATGGGATACAGTCAGGGGTATTGGTTACACTCACAGACACCTACTGGCTATGGGATACAGTCAGGGGTATTGGTTACACTCAATGACACTTACTGGCTATGGGATACAGTCAGGGGTATTGGTTATACTCACAGACACCTACTGGGTATGGGATACAGTCAGGGGTATTGGTCAGGCAGACACATGGTATATATTAGGGTATAAACTGATACAGGCAGACACATGGTATATATTGGGGTATAAACTGATACAGGCAGACACATGGTATATATTGGGGTATAAACTGATACAGGCAGACACATGGTATATACTGGGGTATAAACTGATACAGGCAGACACATGGTATATATTGGGGTATAAACTGATACAGGCAGACACGCTGGGTATATATTGGGGTATAAACTGATACAGGCAGACACGGCTATGGTATATATTGGGGTATAAACTGATACAGGCAGACACGTGGTATATATTGGGGTATAAACTGATACAGGCAGACACGTGGTATATATTGGGGTATAAACTGATACAGGCAGACACGTGGTATATATTGGGGTATAAACTGATACAGGCAGACACGTGGTATATATTGGGGTATAAACTGATACAGGCAGACATGTGGTATATATTGGGGTATAAACTGATACAGGCAGACACGGGTATATATTGGGGTATAAACTGATACAGGCAGACACGTGGTATATATTAGGGGTATAAACTGATACAGGCAGACAGGCAGTGGTATATATTGGGGTATAAACTGATACAGGCAGACATGTGGTATATATTGGGGTATAAACTGATACAGGCAGACACGTGGGTATATATTGGGGTATAAACTGATACAGGCAGACATGTGGTATATATTGGGGTATAAACTGATACAGGCAGACACGTGGTATATATTGGGGTATAAACTGATACAGGCAGACATGTGGTATATATTGGGGTATAAACTGATACAGGCAGACACGTGGTATATATTGGGGTATAAACTGATACAGGCAGACACGTGGTATATATTGGGGTATAAACTGATACAGGCAGACACGGGTATATATTGGGGTATAAACTGATACAGGCAGACACGTGGGTATATATTGGGGTATAAACTGATACAGGCAGACATGTGGTATATATTGGGGTATAAACTGATACAGGCAGACACGTGGTATATATTGGGGTATAAACTGATACAGGCAGACACGTGGTATATATTGGGGTATAAACTGATACAGGCAGACATGTGGTATATATTGGGGTATAAACTGATACAGGCAGACACGTGGTATATATTGGGGTATAAACTGATACAGGCAGACACGTGGTATATATTGGGGTATAAACTGATACAGGCAGACATGTGGTATATATTGGGGTATAAACTGATACAGGCAGACACGTGGTATATATTGGGGTATAAACTGATACAGGCAGACACAGTGGTATATATTGGGGTATAAACTGATACAGGCAGACAGACACCGGTATATATTGGGGTATAAACTGATACAGGCAGACATGTGGTATATATTGGGGTATAAACCGATACTGGCAGGCAGACATGTGGTATATATTGGGGTATAAACTGATACAGGCAGACACGTGGTATATATTGGGGTATAAACTGATACAGGCAGACATGTGGTATATATTGGGGTATAAACTGATACAGGCAGACATGTGGTATATATTGGGGTATAAACTGATACAGGCAGACACGTGGTATATATTGGGGTATAAACTGATACAGGCAGACCATGTGGTATATATTGGGGTATAAACTGATACAGGCAGACACGTGGTATATATTGGGGTATAAACTGATACAGGCAGACACGTGGTATATATTGGGGTATAAACTGATACAGGCAGACATGTGGTATATATTGGGGTATAAACTGATACAGGCAGACACGGGTATATATTGGGGTATAAACTGATACAGGCAGACACGTGGTATATATTGGGGTATAAACTGATACAGGCAGACACGTGGTATATATTGGGGTATAAACTGATACAGGCAGACCGATGGGTATATATTGGGGTATAAACTGATACAGGCAGACACATGGTATATATTGGGGTATAAACTGATACAGGCAGACACGTGGTATATATTGGGGTATAAACTGATACAGGCAGACACGTGGTATATATTGGGGTATAAACTGATACAGGCAGACACGTGGTATATATTGGGGTATAAACTGATACAGGCAGACACGTGGTATATATTGGGGTATAAACTGATACAGGCAGACATGTGGTATATATTGGGGTATAAACTGATACAGGCAGACACATGGTATATATTGGGGTATAAACTGATACAGGCAGACACGTGGTATATATTGGGGTATAAACTGATACAGGCAGACACGTGGTATATATTGGGGTATAAACTGATACAGGGTTCAGGGCTATACCTGCAATACCAGCACAGCAGACTTCTCTCCCGGGGCAGCACACTTCCATTTGAACGTCCCCTCAGGTTTCAGCAGGTTCTCAGCAGGGTGGTTCTGTTGGGAAAGTAGGGAGTCCACATGAGACAGACAACAGGTTAGAGCCAGGACACAGAGCAAAACATATTGAACATCATGCAATACATTTGCCACACCAGACCACTAACTGACCATCAACAATGTGGAATATAGTAGCTTTATACAACCAAACATGGATGACAAGGGACAATAATCATTGTTGAATATAGTTGCCTAAAAACTGAAGGGTTGTCGTGTTGAAGATATGAACGGAACTTCATTGTTGCATGATACATATAAGCACTTGCTCTACTAACGGTGAAATTGTATATATATATTTACCTGTGATGATTTTTACATTATAGCTGTGGTAAAATGAGGCTGATTAAATTCATGGCTCCAGATAAATCAAATATGTGTTTTTAATACTAGAAGTTCACCAACATGACAGCATCACATGACATGATTAAATAATAATAAACATCAAGGTACAAATCACAGTTATGTGATCCAAATCAGTCTGCGTATTTGACGCATAAATTATCTCAAATACACAGTGAATTTAGAAGCTTGCGTCATTGTTGATTCAATGCTACTGGGCCCTTAGTTCAGATAATCTAAACTTTGGTTTCTGTGTGATGACTGTTCTTTTTGGCAACAAATATTAGTAATATACTTTAGTTTAAGTTTGAGTACATATTTTAATTTGGTGTTGTTTAAAACTACTTAGTTTAATGTCTGCCAGTTAACTACTCAGTGCTGACCTGTCTTACCTTGTTTTTTGTCATTATGAAACAATCACAGTAAACTTGATGTCTTGATGAAAGTTCCAAACTGAAGTTGACTCCCAAAAACATGTCCATGACTCCCTCTCAAGACATGAGTGAGTCATGATGACTCCTAAATTTTATGTCTGGGGAAAACATTGATCCAAATCTTCAAACCATCCACCAATCAGAAATCCGAAAATGCTTGCGCTGCTGGGATACTTAAAAATAATCACACAAGAACCATCAGGGATATTTCCAATTACAGCAACTGATGGGCACCCACTGTTCTTTCTGTCTCATTGTTTAGGTTGAAGAAATGAATAATAAGGGCCCTTTGCTATTCATATATAAATATTATCTCAAAGTTCATGTACACTGTCCTTACAGAAAGTAAAATAAGACCCTTTGATGAAGTGGTCATTGTCAAAACAGGTACCCAAAGTAACCCCCAGTACCCTCAACTCAAAACCAAAATAGTCGTTTGCCTGATTACGAGTGGTCTTGTACATTGCGAAATACTTGTCACTCTGTGTGCTCGTTTCTTATACAACAGCATCACATTTCCGGTAGAAAAATCGATGGCATGCAGAAAAGAATCATTATCAGCCTAGGGTACATTTCAGTATGGCCTAAAAAAAAAAGCTTGTGGTTCCGACCCTAAATATTCCCGCTGAGCCTAACAATTTTACTCACCAAATATAAATTAAATTTATTTTCTGACACATGAGTAATGTAAAAATATTTTGCCCAAAAAAACCACCCTACCTACCTACCCTAGTTCTGAAATGTAGGAAATCGGAACCACAACATTTATTTTTGGGGGCCTATTCTGTTCTGTAGTACCCATGTCGACAACAACCCCTTTAACTTTACTTATCAGCATTCATGATACAATATTTGCAAATATTATTGTACTACGGTGTGGTGGCCTAAACAACCGAATGTATATTGTCTTATCACACCAGGTTTTCAACACAGATTTTGGGTACACATCCTCCCACCCTGGCCTAGATGTTCAGGCCTGGGTGGGACGATGTGTACTGGTGTACCCAAATGACCGGTATGGGTTTGTGGCTAATCTAACTTTTCTTGTGCCCGTCTTGACGTTTGAGTTTCGAGGCCATTCTGACACAAGGCAATTTTGACTGAAACTTTAGCTGAACGCGACTGTTGTGTACTGTGACCTGTTTGTAAACAAACTTCACGAGCAAACTTGTTTACCTTGTCTTCTGAACTAGAAGATACGACATGTTGGATCTTGATTTCCGGCATGATGTCAGTGCTCAGGTCTGTCCCGATCTGTTTTCAGCGGCACCTAAAAATCACAAACTCAACACATTTTTGCTATCACTCACTGAAACTCTCAAATCTCGCGGAAAAATAAACAAGATGGCTGCAACTCATCCGGGGAAACTACCGGTTCCCTTGCCCATTGGCTAAAAGTAGAATAAGTTTCCTGGGCACCAGAATAAATATCTTATACTACCATCGCCTTTGTCATCGTATGATTGGCCGGGGCCCCATATCATCTGTCATCTTTATTTCTTTCTGGAAGGGTTAAAAAAATATAATACATGGGCGGTTGTGGGTTAGTGGATTGCGTGGATTGCCTCCCTTGGTCAAGAATTATGCAAGTAGACTTGTTAAGCGACGTAGCGTAGAGCTTTTGTTTTTCGCAGTGCCCCAATTTTTATTTACTTATTTACATATCATTATTTTATTTATGTATTTAATAACTTTTTTTTCTTTTTCTTTTCTTTTGGTGTGTGTGTTGGTTGTTTAGAATTGGAATACAGGGTTTGTTGTTTGGGTTAGTTTTTTTTTGTCTTTTACATTTGTTTTCAATTGTCATTTAATAAACCTTCAGGACAAAAGGGGGCGGGTGCCCATCTGGGCCCGCCTATGAAACCACGTATTTTAGGCACAATTACAGATCAAACGTAATTATGAAAACGTATAACATAATGGCTAAATGGATGGTCATATTGGGTTGTACATAGTCAAAAGGGCCAAAGGACAAAAGGGCCAAAACTGAAAAAGTCAAAAGGGCCAAAGGAAAGTTAAATGGGCTATAGATTTAGTGAAAAGGGCCATAGATGAAATTCAGATAAGAACATACAAACTAATATACATTTTGTACGTTTTATTATATTTTATCAATATGTAGTAATAATATACAGTGTGATCATCATACATTCAGGTGTTGATATGTGATCAACTATTCACAAGTATAAGACAAAATGTTATGGATGTCAACTTCTTCTTTATTGTATACACAACGTTTCTGGGCTATTCCTTGCCCATTCGTCAGATGAATGCTAAATAGCAGATATACAGGGTATATATATAGTAATGTACATGAAGCCAGAGTGATTTTAAGCATGTATATGTATACAATAAATAGGGGATGATAAGATGAAAGAGACTAAAATATACAAAGGCAGATGTGGTGTTGTTACAGTGGATTAAGTGAGTAAACGATAGACTGACTGACTGACTGAGTTTGGGTTTACGCCGCTTTTAGCAATATTCCAGCAACATCATGGCGGGGGGACACCAGAAATGGGCTTCACACATTGTACCCATGTGGGGATTCGAACCCGGGGCTTCGGCGTGACGAGCCAACGCTTTAACCACTAGGCTGCCCCACCGCCCCAGTAAATGATAGAAGCCAATGAGGCTAATAGGTGTACAAAGGGTGGCTGATAGTCTAATGATATACAGAAGCTGGGATAAGATACGAAAGGCAGGGTTGATGCTGTTACAGTGGATTAAAGACTAAGAGGTGAATTGGTGAAGCCATGACCTAATTGATTACCCAGGCATTGGGTAGGTAAACCCCTTGATCCCTGTTTATCGGTGGCGCTAATCGTTTGATGCTGATAGACTCCGAAATCTTGCGTCGTCGCCAATCATTGATGTTCGATGCTAAGATGGTTCACAATGGGCTGACTTTAGATCCAATTTCTCTACCGAGGTTTTGTGCTCTTAGAGCCTGATGTCAGTGGGCGGGATGTTTCTCCAATAGCTGCTGCTATGTTGGAGAAACATCCCGCCCCATTGACATCAGGCTCAAAGAGCACACAACCTCGGTAGAGAATAAAAGCATAAATTAGGCGTTGGGAACAAATTACAGAAATGGGTTAGTATCCTAATGTCAAATGCAACTTCTTGTATTGTACAAAATAGACATTTATCTACTTTCTTCCAAAACGAGAAAGCAGACAAGGAGACCCAATTTCACCGTATTTGTTTTTGTTCGTTGCAGAAATACTAGGGATTATGATTCGTAATAATGTCGAAATAAAAGGTGTCACCTTAAATGATATCGAATACATTATAGGTCAATATGCAGATGATACAGAATTATTTTTAGATGGATCAGAGACCTCTCTTAAGGAAGCAATAGATACTCTATCAAGCTTTTATAAAACTAAGGCAGTATGGCTTGGATCACTCGCTGGAAGTAAGATTAAACTAACCCTTGACCTTAATCTAGATTGGCATGTAGGAAACTTCGACGCATTGGGAATAACACTGAACGCTTCTTTGCAAAACCTGTGGGTCATCAACACTAGAAAAAGACTTGACAACATCAAAATAATTCTTTCAAAATGGCGTAAACGTAATTTGACTTTGATTGGCAAAATTACCGTAATTAAAACGTTGGCCTTATCAACCATAGATCATATATTTACCTCCCTCCAAACCCACCACCCGATTTTATCGCAGACATTGAACACTCTCTTTTTCAAGTTTATATGGAACGACAAAAAGGACAAAATAAAACGAAGCAATCTTATGCGGAAACACGAAAATGGAGGTCTAAGAATGATTGATATTAAAACATTCATTGAATCACTAAAAATTTCATGTCTAAAAGATACACTGCTAAACAGAAACGATATGACCTCTCCGGTTTTCGGTTAGACTATATCTTCCATTTCGGTGCAAATATCCCGTTTTACTTGAAACTTAAAAAACCCTTCTGGAATGATGTTCTGGAGTAAATATGTAAAGATCCATTCTGTTAATAGTGAGGATATCAACGACATTTTAATGCAACCACTGTGGTTAAACCACCACTTTCGTGACTCTAACTTTATTATAAAAAACTGGTTTAACAAAGATATAGTGTATGTAAAAGATCTCTGTGATGAAAACGGATTACATGTAATTCCATTCATAAAACTAAAAGCATCATTCAATATAAAGTGTACCATACTTGATTACAATCGCTTATTACTTAAAGGTCACATGCAACGTAAAACACAACTTTGCAGATTCTGATACCTTTCGGTATGGACTTACCGAAACAAATCGTCAAAAAATGCAAATTCAACTTATAAAGTTGAAAAATAACGCGATGAAAAGAAACGCGCGAAATCGGAGTTCAAACGTTTCACTAAATTTCCCCAGACTTTTCTGTGGAAAACGGGTTTCAACAGCTGGGCTGCGCTCATAGCATGTGCGCAGTGAAATAGGTTCGCGCAGCTTGGAAACGGGTTGTCCGGTGAATACTCGGTGAAGGCTTTGGTGTGAGCTATTTTTCTAATGTTTTGTTGATATCTCACAGGCGCGAGCTTTTTTATATGTTATGACAGTAAATTAACTGTTTATACAATTTCATTTGTCTATTTCACCACACGTTCTTCTTACCGAGTCACTTCTCAGTTCGATACTTAAAAGAATTATCATTATTCAGCGTTGACAGAATTTCTAACTGTGATATAGATATGTCGTTGTCACAGACAAAACTCAATGTCTTGTTTTATTGACACCTGTGTGTCTGCCTGCCTGTCTGCTAATGACAATATTCAATACACAGCTGCTATCACTGACCACATGCAATTTGAACTTAACACCAATCAGGCTATACACCATAAACAAAATGCTTTGATTTATGGCCCGAGTTCGGTCTCTGTCACACTATGTAATTACACAGACAGGCAGGGGTGATACTTGAACACATGACATGTTATGATGTCTGTTGATTGCAAAATGTTATACACAAAAAAATGAGCATGTATTTACAAAACCCAACATCTCTATATATACACACACAATGAGCTGTGAGGGCATCTGCAAATGAACCAGCCGTTACACTTGAGTGCACACCCACCCGCTCTGACTGGGTTCGGTATCCCGGCTGCTTCGTTTCTTGGGAAGTAAACCGAAGTACACAATATTGCACTTTTAATTTGCGATTGTACGCTTATAATTTTGTTTATATGTTTTTTCATAACCAGCAATGTATATTATATGTCATGAATAAGTGATAATTGTGTTTTAATTATGTTTGATTTTTTTGGTTGCATGTGACCTTTAACATCCCAAAGGTATGGAGAACAACACTGCAAATTGTTAAAATAGATTTTGTTCACATTAAAACTGTATGCCCTTGGAACAATATTAATAATCCCTGTAAAGGATCAAGACTTCCCTATCATAAACTAATCTCAGCTACCAGCTTCCCGAACGTTTGAAATAAATGAGAAAGAGAAGCTGATACATCCATTGACTGGATATAGAAAAGCCATAAGTGATACAAAACTACAAAAAAAAGAACTAGTAAAAATGAAAGTGGTTGACTCCGATTTGTGCGCTTTCTGTGGGACAGAAGGCGAAAATATCGACCATGTGTATATAAAATTGCCACATGTCAAATCCTTCTGGGACGATTTTAACAACTATGTTAATATAATATTCGGAAAACATATTGAAATAACAAACAATGACATTCTTTTTTCTTCATGTGTTGATATTTTATTAACTCATATGATCATTCTGGACAAACGACATATATTTGTTATGAACATCAAAGGGTTTAAACCATGTATTAATTCTTTTAAAGTTACCCTAAAAGACGTCTTCACAGTAGAAAAATACATTGCTATTAAAAATGATAGAATCAGTCTATTCAACAGAAAATGGAATGTACTACAAAACATGCCTTAACTATTTTGCCCATGTATTAGCGTTCACATCTATTGCCGTTTGTATATGTTTGATCAGCTGATACTACCAATGTCAACGTTTATCTTGATATCAGAGCCGATTCATCAGCTAGAGTTTTCTCTGTTCCGACTGATACTGTATCTTATTTTGAATGTACTTTAATTATGTAACTCACTGAGTGTAATAAAGAAAGGGTTTAAATAAAAAGATACTTTCCAAACTTCACGTAGTTTACTAGATGTATAATGTGATTGCGAGGACCGGTCACTACTGAGTTAGTGGAAGGGTGAGGAGAGGTTCGGAAACTGTAATTTACGACAATATTCGCCCGCGCTTGTCTAGACAGGAGCCCAGTCAATAGCCCAAGCTCCACATCAGCGCGCCATCTTCCTAATATGCTACAGTAAGAGCCCCGCCAACACAGTCGGCAAAATGTCTTGTACAACCCGCCAACGGACTATGCTGCAAGGAGCTTGAGACTTAAACATGGCGGACAACTGTGTGTTGTGGGTCGGCGGATTGCCCGACAAAGTTACGGAAGAATTGTTATATGAACTTTTTCTTCAGGTAATTCGAGTATAATGTGATAATTGTGAATGTCAGTAGTTTGTGTGAGGTCCGAAAGAGTTCCTTCCGTTCCCACAACCCTAAAGGCTGTAGGTGAAGCTGAAGGGGTCGTTGTCGACACAGGCACTAAACTGCTAAAGATACGTACCCCAGGTACCTTTCTGTATACAGATATGTACCCTAAACAAAGTCAAAATACAGAAACGTACCCGGTACCCTAAAAGGCGGACGAGTCCATATTCCGCAATCCAAACCCGAAACCGTATGTAGTTGTAATTCCTGTTCAACTGATTGCGAGTGGTATTCATATGCATCGCGAAATATCCGTTACTGTGTATTCTCATTACTTCAATAACGCAATCAAATGTATCTAATACAACAACATGACTGTTCTGATCAAGAATGGGAATGGAATCGTCCTAGGGTACGTTTCTTTATTCTCATTATGGCCAGGGTACGTTTCTGTAATCCAAAAGTGTTTGACTTTTGTGAAATGAAAAAAAAATGTTAGGTAAGTATGATCGGTGATCAGTAATGAAAAAAAACATCAATTATCAACATTCAACTACGCAGACCAGCAGAGAAGTAGCAGTAGAGAAGAAGGATAAGGTGGGTCACCGACAAAGTAATTAACAAAACACTTCAATGTACACACATTATTTCACAGTAAAAAAAACTCACCACTTCCTAATTAACATTCACAACAACTCAGTGCAACCTGTTTTCACTTATGGTATATAAACCTCAAGAAGGTAAAACGAAATCATTCAGCATCAAAATTATCAAAATTAATATGTTTACAAAATATTATTATTCAATTATATATACACGTCTACGAAATCACTGTCTACGTCCCAGTCTGGGCTACGAATCCACCGCGTCTACGAACTGGTTCAGCCTACGAAAACACCGTCTCCCACCCTTAACCTAACCCTAATCCTAACTTAAATTTTGGAGTTTTAGTCATTTTTGTGAGTTCTCTAGTAATTGTTGTGTTCAGTTTTGTTAATCATTTTAGCATATATTAATTTCTAAATATTATTTGGGATGGGGGGAACTCTTACCGCAAGGTCTTTACGTGAATATAGTTGGAGTTTCCAGATTCAGTTTGTCTGGTTGCAATCAGCTGGTGATGAATGAGATGCTACTAACGAGCATGATGTTAAACTTGACGTAGTCGCCCAGGGGCAGCTGATATGGTGCATATTAGTCCAGTCTGCTGGCAGTGGCTCTTGCTTCACATTACTGGGGTGCTTTTCTATACGTTTTTGTTAGTTGTGGTAGTGTTACGGTTAGCAGAGAGCAGCGATGCTACCTCTTGGCTATGTTATGGTAAGTTACCCCGACTTAAACCACAGCTCTTGGATCCCTTTTATAATGAAGCAACTCTCCACTTGGACTAACATCTAGTCTCTGAAATGAACATTTATTACAGAAAAACCTGTTGATACAGAATAATCATAACATATAATGAAAAGGAGCCCATAGACTTTCTTCATTTTCAGAAAATTGAAACTCTGCAAATCTAGACTTGCCACATATTACAGACTTGCATAGGCTTTTTTGGATATATTTGTTTCAGGGTTTGTATGCCAATTAAACACCACTTTAATATATGATATATTAGCTGCTACCCAAGACATACAGTCAGTTCTCGTTAATCCGACACTCGTTAATCCGACAATCACGTTAATCCGACAAATAATTAGGGAACCATTTAAAACAGTGATAATTACTCTCGTTAATCTGACATTCTCGCATTCCGACTCCGACACACCAATCTAGCAGCTTATTATTGGAAATACATTGTAAAAACATTCGTTAATCCGACAACACAGCCCGTCGGATGATCCGACCGTATACAAACAATCACACGTGAGTGGTAATTAGCGTGTGCCTTACTGGCTGCTTGACACCGGCGTCAGTGAACATCACACTTGTTAATTAGGAACGCAGGATAATTAATTGAGACGATTTAATCAAGAAATAACAGTAGGCGAGCTGTATCTGACATCCTGAAGCAGTCTGCTTAGTGGTTGAACGTCTCTACGACTGATTCCAATGCTTCAAGCTATCTGAGGCCAAAACATCGTTGAACACTTTGCAAACATTTCTGACACACCACTTAGACGTGTTTGATGTTAATGACAATCAAAGACTTTTTCAAGTTATAAATTATATATGTTATGATACACTCCTGATTGTACATTAGACGTCCACATGTTATTATGGAATTAGTTGTATGGAAACCGTAACATATTCAACATCCGGGTCATAATGGCAGCTGATATGCGGTAAAAACAAACGTGAGTTTTGTGCCAATGTGGTCATGAAATAGATATGAAACTTTTCGCTTATGTGATTATATATGTATGTTATGCCATCTATGAATGTTAATAAATGAAAACAAGTATGTATTGTTAGTATTTTTTATTTCTGTGAATATTTGTACATACGATGAAGATAACTAGATCTACCATTGATATTTTCAAGCAAATATTTTAATCCGACATTTTCGTTAATCCGACATTTTCGTGAATCCGACATATTTCTCTGCAACCACAAGTGTCGGATTAACGAGAGTTGACTGTACTGTGTGTTTCAGGCTGGCCCTTTGGACCGAGTCACCATCCCCAAGGACAAGGACGGACGCAACAAGAAGTTTGCCTTCATCAACTTCCGTCATGAGGAGTCGGTGGCATACACCATGCAGCTGTATGAGGGGATTCGGCTGTTTGGTCAATACTTGCGTCTACAGACAAGGTCGGGGTCGTCCCATCCCAGCAGTTCCTCCCCCCACACCAGCCCCTCCCCGTACAGCAGCCCCCAGTACAACCAAGAGCAGCGGGATGCATACCCACATGATACTAGCAGCCAGCACGGGAACCGGTCCAACTACCACCGTTCTTCTTCTGGACCTAATGCAGAACAACAAGAACCATTCCGCAGTCCACGGGACAGAGAACAGGGGTCACGGCTGAACGAGCCTCCGTCCCGGTACCAGCGGTCAAATACATGGCACGGTGGTGTGGACAAGAATCACGATGACCGTGGAGACCGACATCCTCGACACTCGCCACAGTACCGCCCAGAATCACCTCAAGTCTACCAGGCTGGTAGTCCTCAGTATCGCAGTGACAACCCTGACACCATCGACGCGCGCCGGCAGCGCCTACTGCAGCAGCAGAATCTCAGTTTGGGTGTTCATAGACAAGATGGCCGCCAACATCGAGACTATGACCGGATGCAGCCGTACCAGAGACCTCACAGCACCAGAAGGCGATATTAATATGTTGGGAAATGCCATGGTTTGTGGAGACAGTATCTTGATTCCTGCAACTGCCCTCATCAATGTTTCTACGTGTTGTTTTATGTAGTAAATAGATGAACACAGGTACTGTGAGAAGGTATCAGTTACCATGGAGACATAATTGTGTGTAGGAGTAATGACCCTGAAACATCCAGTACAATGTTTCAGTAATGTATTGCAAACACTGTATAGATGTACTGAGCTCAGAGTCCCTCTCGGTGACTTCATTTGCATACTTATTGAATGGTGATACAAGGTATATATCCCAGCGGTGTATACACAGCGGCTGTCCCGCTGCAACATTGGCGGAGTTAGATGTCATATCCAATGAAATGAAATAAATGCTGGGTGTGATTGAAACCAGCATGAATCTATTTCTTTAATATTTTTGCAACTCTTTAGCTAATAAACTGGAAACTTTTTTATTAGTTGTCATTGGTGTCCCATTAATTCTATGAATTATTGTTCTTTCAGTTTAATTAATACAACATTAAACTCATCAAAAGTAACAGCTGATGATGAAAGAAGCTTGCGTGACTTGAGTGGCAGAAGGAATGGTCATCCAGAGTTGAAATCTTCAAGCTGGTGCCCATTAATAGTATATATGAACACAGTGTCTGCCCATAGAGAGGACGGTTCAGTGGCTGTCTGCATCATACCTGAAGACATGGTACTTGTAATAATGTCAGGTGTGTCATACAGGTGTGTCATACAGGTGTGTCATCAGGTGAATGTCATCAGGTGAATATGGAAGTGTTGTCTTGACATTTTACACCCTTGTTTTTAATTGTAGAAAATTGTAGTAAATCGTATCTACTTGTTTCTTACTTGTTTGTTTGCTGGTTTTGACTCTGATGCCTTTGTGTGCCTCCCTGTTCCCGATGTGTGGTTCACTGTTCCTGATGTGTGGTTCACTGTTCCCGATGTGTGGTTCACTGTTCCCGATGTGTGGTTCACTGTTTCTCATGTCTGTTCAAATGAATCAATGACACATGAAACATTTGGAGTGCAGTTACAGAAGACACAAACCTGTCCAATCTGAGGGAATCAAATATCTTTGAATTACTCCTGAATAACACTTGTACATTCAACATTCTGAAATAGGCAACACAATCTGTGTGTTTAACTGTACAGAAAATATCAACACAGACACTTGTAGTTCATTGGATATACTAAATTAAATACAGCTGTTGGTAACCAAATAAGGCTGTAGGTCACTGACAACATAAAGCTTTAAGTCACCTGACAACATACAGCTGTAGGTCACCTGTACTCACCTGACAACATACAGCTGTAGGTCACCTGTACTCACCTGACAACATACAGCTGTAGGTCACCAGTACTCACCTGATAACAGACAGAAGTAACTTACTTTTACTCACCTGACAACAGACAGCTGTTGGTCACCTGTACACACCTGACAGCATACAGCTGTAGGTCACCTGTACTCACCTGACAACATACAGCTGTAGGTCACCTTTTACTCACCTGACAACATACAGCTCTAGGTCACCTGTACTCACCTGACAACATACAGCTCTAGGTCACCTGTACTCACCTGACAACAGACAAGTAACTTACCTGTTCTGACCAGATATTTACTAGCTTACTTATATAGCCAGGCAACTCAAACAATAAATGACCAAGATCATATTGAATATAGCTATGTCCATCTAATGAAGATATGCTCATAGTCCAACATGAACACATAAACAAAGATATTCATCCATTGTAATTGGAAGCCCGCTATTCCCCGACCGAATTGGGGACGGGCGTTTGGTTTCAGGAAAACCAGATTTCACACATTCCAGTCAGGTGGAGAATCGAGCTGGCACCTGAACCGCTTGGCTTTCCCCGCCTCTTTAGACTGAAGTGTATTCATTGATGAGTTGGGTCAGGTCTCAGCAGTATCACAGCCTTAGATACCAGAAAGACATCACACATTGTACCCATGTGGGGAATTGAACGCGGGTCTTCGGCATGACGACCAAATAAATGCTTTAGCCACTAGACTGCACCTAGACCTGAGAAGATCCGCATTTGAAGTGATCTTCAGCAACCGGGCCATGCCTGTCGGCAGATGCAACTAACGGAATCGGGTGGCCGGGCTCGCTAACTGGGTTGGGACATCTCAGTCGCGTAGCCTGGTCGGTGCTCATGCTGTTGATCACTGGATTGTCTGGTCTAGACTCGATTATTTTCAGACTGCCACCATAGAGCTGGAATATTGGTGAGTGCAGTGTTAAACAATAAACAAACAAAACAAAATCGGATACGTAGAAGATGTTCAGTTGTTGCACTGATAAGTGGGGAGAGAACCTTCTATTGGGTTCCAGTCATTATGGATAGGCAGTGAAGAGTCTTTACAACAGGTGTTATGTGCTGGACGTTGGAGAGGAAGGCGTTGCATGACGTCACATTGCGACGTGACAATGAAAGACGACAGAACAGCCATTTCTCAATCATTAATTTACTTGCAGCATTAGGATTAAACAGATCAAGTTGTACGGCGTATTTTGTGTTAGTACATACACTACTACAGTAAGTAGGCTAGGAAGTCCTCGTTGGAACAAGAAACATGAAACACACAGAGTGAGTTGAGGGGGATATCAGGAGAACACACAGAGTGAGTTGAGGGGGATATCAGGAGAACACACAGAGTGAGTTGAGGGGGATATCAGGAGAACACAGAGTGAGTTGAGGGGGATATCAGGAGAACACACAGAGTGAGTTGAGGGGGATATCAGGAGAACACACAGAGTGAGTTGAGGGGGATATCAGGAGAACACACAGAGTGAGTTGAGGGGGATATCAGGAGAACACAGAGTGAGTTGAGGGGGATATCAGGAGAACACAGAGTGAGTTGAGGGGGATATCAGGAGAACACACAGAGTGAGTTGAGGGGATATCAGGAGAACACACAGAGTGAGTTGAGGGGGATATCAGGAGAACACACTGAGTGAGTTGAGGGATATCAGGAGAACACACAGAGTGAGTTGAGGGGATATCAGGAGAACACAGAGTGAGTTGAGGGGATATCAGGAGAACACACAGAGTGAGTTGAGGGGATATCAGGAGAACACACAGAGTGAGTTGAGGGGGATATCAGGAGAACACACAGAGTGAGTTGAGGGGATATCAGGAGAACACACAGAGTGAGTTGAGGGGATATCAGGAGAACACACAGTGAGTTGAGGGGGATATCAGGAAAACACAGAGTGAGTTGAGGGGATATCAGGAGAACACACAGTGAGTTGAGGGGATATCAGGAAAACACAGAGTGAGTTGAGGGGATATCAGGAGAACACAGAGTGAGTTGAGGGGATATCAGGAGAACACACTGAGTGAGTTGAGGGGGATATCAGGAGAACACAGTGAGTTGAGGGGGGATATCAGGAGAACACAGTGAGTTGAGGGGATATCAGGAGAACACACAGTGAGTTGAGGGGGATATCAGGAGAACACACAGTGAGTTGAGGGGGATATCAGGAGAACACACAGAGTGAGTTGAGGGGGATATCAGGAGAACACACTGAGTGAGTTGAGGGGATATCAGGAGAACACACAGAGTGAGTTGAGGGGGACATCAGGCAGAACACAGAGTGAGCTGAGGGGGATATCAGGAGAACACACAGAGTGAGTTGAGGGGGATATCAGGGAGAACACACTGAGTGAGTTGAGGGGATATCAGGAGAACACACAGAGTGAGTTGAGGGGATATCAGGAGAACACAGAGTGAGTTGAGGGGGATATCAGGAGAACACACAGTGAGTTGAGGGGATATCAGGAGAACACACAGAGTGAGCTGAGGGGATATCAGGAGAACACACAGAGTGAGTTGAGGGGGATATCAGGAGAACACAGAGTGAGTTGAGGGGACATCAGGAGAGAACACAGAGTGAGTTGAGGGGACATCAGGAGAAACACAGAGTGAGTTGAGGGGATATCAGGAGAACACACAGAGTGAGCTGAGGGGATATCAGGAGAACACACTGAGTGAGTTGAGGGGATATCAGGAGAACACACAGAGTGAGTTGAGGGGGATATCAGGAGAACACACAGTGAGTTGAGGGGGATATCAGGAGAACACACAGAGTGAGTTGAGGGGGATATCAGGAGAACACAGAGTGAGTTGAGGGGGATATCAGGAGAACACACAGAGTGAGTTGAGGGGGATATCAGGAGAACACACAGAGTGAGTTGAGGGGGATATCAGGAGAACACACAGAGTGAGTTGAGGGGATATCAGGAGAACACAGAGTGAGTTGAGGGGGATATCAGGAGAACACAGAGTGAGTTGAGGGGGATATCAGGAGAACACACAGAGTGAGTTGAGGGGGATATCAGGAGAACACACAGAGTGAGTTGAGGGGGATATCAGGAGAACACACAGAGTGAGTTGAGGGGGATATCAGGAGAACACAGAGAGTGAGTTGAGGGGGATATCAGGAGAACACACAGTGAGTTGAGGGGGATATCAGGAGAACACACAGAGTGAGTTGAGGGGGATATCAGGAGAACACACAGAGTGAGTTGAGGGGGATATCAGGAGAACACACAGAGTGAGTTGAGGGGATATCAGGAGAACACAGAGAGTGAGTTGAGGGGGATATCAGGAGAACACACAGAGTGAGTTGAGGGGGATATCAGGAGAACACACAGTGAGTTGAGGGGGATATCAGGAGAACACAGTGAGTTGAGGGGGATATCAGGAGAACACACAGTGAGTTGAGGGGGATATCAGGAGAACACACAGTGAGTTGAGGGGATATCAGGAGAACACACAGAGTGAGTTGAGGGGGATATCAGGAGAACACACAGAGTGAGTTGAGGGGGATATCAGGAGAACACACAGAGTGAGTTGAGGGGGATATCAGGAGAACACAGAGTGAGTTGAGGGGGATATCAGGAGAACACACAGAGTGAGTTGAGGGGGATATCAGGAGAACACACTGAGTGAGTTGAGGGGGATATCAGGAGAACACACAGAGTGAGTTGAGGGGGATATCAGGAGAACACACAGAGTGAGTTGAGGGGATATCAGGAGAACACACAGTGAGTTGAGGGGATATCAGGAGAACACACAGAGTGAGTTGAGGGGGGATATCAGGAGAACACAGAGTGAGTTGAGGGGGGACATCAGGAGAACACAGAGTGAGTTGAGGGGATATCAGGAGAACACAGAGTGAGTTGAGGGACATCAGGAGACACAGAGTGAGGAGGGGGATATCAGGAGAACACACAGAGTGAGTTGAGGGGGATATCAGGAGAACACACTGAGTGAGTTGAGGGGGATATCAGGAGAACACACAGAGTGAGTTGAGGGGGATATCAGGAGAACACACAGTGAGTTGAGGGGGGATATCAGGAGAACACACAGAGTGAGTTGAGGGGGATATCAGGAGAACACAGAGTGAGTTGAGGGGGATATCAGGAGAACACACAGAGTGAGTTGAGGGGGATATCAGGAGAACACACAGAGTGAGTTGAGGGGGATATCAGGAGAACACACTGAGTGAGTTGAGGGGGATATCAGGAGAACACAGAGTGAGTTGAGGGGGATATCAGGAGAACACAGAGTGAGTTGAGGGGGATATCAGGAGAACACACAGAGTGAGTTGAGGGATATCAGGAGAACACACAGAGTGAGTTGAGGGGATATCAGGAGAACACACAGAGTGAGTTGAGGGGGATATCAGGAGAACACAGAGTGAGTTGAGGGGGATATCAGGAGAACACAGAGTGAGTTGAGGGGGATATCAGGAGAACACACAGAGTGAGTTGAGGGGGATATCAGGAGAACACACAGAGTGAGTTGAGGGGGATATCAGGAGAACACACAGTGAGTTGAGGGGGATATCAGGAGAACACACAGAGTGAGTTGAGGGGGATATCAGGAGAACACACAGAGTGAGTTGAGGGGGATATCAGGAGAACACACTGAGTGAGTTGAGGGGGATATCAGGAGAACACACTGAGTGAGTTGAGGGGGATATCAGGAGAACACACTGAGTGAGTTGAGGGGGATATCAGGAGAACACAGAGTGAGTTGAGGGGGATATCAGGAGAACACACAGTGAATTGAGGGGGATATCAGGAGAACACAGAGTGAGTTGAGGGGGATATCAGGAGAACACAGAGTGAGTTGAGGGGATATCAGGAGAACACACAGAGTGAGTTGAGGGGATATCAGGAGAACACACACTGAGTGAGTTGAGGGGGATATCAGGAGAACACACAGAGTGAGTTGAGGGGGATATCAGGAGAACACAGAGTGAGTTGAGGGGGATATCAGGAGAACACACAGAGTGAGTTGAGGGGGATATCAGGAGAACACACTGAGTGAGTTGAGGGGGATATCAGGAGAACACACAGAGTGAGTTGAGGGGATATCAGGAGAACACACAGAGTGAGTTGAGGGGATATCAGGAGAACACACAGTGAGTTGAGGGGATATCAGGAGAACACACTGAGTGAGTTGAGGGGGATATCAGGAGAACACACAGAGTGAGTTGAGGGGATATCAGGAGAACACACAGAGTGAGTTGAGGGGATATCAGGAGAACACAGAGTGAGTTGAGGGGATATCAGGAGAACACACTGAGTGAGTTGAGGGGATATCAGGAGAACACACAGAGTGAGTTGAGGGGATATCAGGAGAAACACAGTCTAGTGGAATTGAGGGTGGATATCAGGAGAACACACAGAGTGAGTTGAGGGGATATCAGGAGAACACAGAGTGAGTGGAGGGATATCAGGAGAACACACAGAGTGAGTTGAGGGATACCAGGAGACTGTTGATGAGTTGAGGGGATATCAGTCCAACACACAGAGTGAGTTCACACCTGCCGTCATATAGCTGGAATATTGTTGAGTGCGGCGTAAAACAACAATCAAACAAACAGCAGGAGATAAGGTAAGGAGCCAACACCAATCAGGGTGAGTTAACTACTGGTTTCCCTTGTTTTCTTGTCACTGTTGTAGTTTCACCTGTACTTATCTGCTTCCTAGTTTTCCTTTCACCTCCGACCGCGTCATACCAAAAGACGTTAAAATATGGTACTTAATTGTTGGTCCCTGCCTGGCGCTCGGCATTAATGGGTACAACAAGGACTGGTCGGCTCGGAGTCAGTATAATGTGTCTGAGTGGGGTATTCATGCTTCACTGCGGCATGGTATCTCAGTGGGCTAGCACTATAAAACCAGCTTAAGTCTGGGCTAGTACAAGCAGCCGCACATACACATTCACACGCATGCACGTCGGCATATGAGCGAAATATTCTCAAGCACGACGTAAAACCCAATTTCACCTCTCCTCTTAGGTCAAAGACAATTTCACCTGATGAAGACGTCAAATACTTCGACTGAACGTCGTGTTCCTCAAACTAAAGACGTTGAATCCATAAACATCACTTATTAATGTCCTTCAAAGACAATTTCACATATTAAAACATTCGTTCGTTCGTTCGTTCGTTCGTACGTACGTACGCACGCGCGCCGCCCCCCCCACACACACACACACATACACACATACATACATACATACATACATACATACATACATACATACATACATACATACATACATACATACATACATACATACATACATACATACATACATACATACATACATTAGACTGCCTCCGTGGTGTAGTGGTTAGAGCGTCCGCCCGGAGTGCGGAAGGTCGCGGGTTCGATCCCCGACCGCGTCATACCAAAAGACGTTTAAATATGGTACTTGTTGGTCCCTGCCTGGCGCTCGGCATTAATGGGTACAACAAGGACTGGTCGGCTTGGAGTCAGTATAATGTGTCTGAGTGGGGTATTCATGCTTCACTGCGGCATGGTATCTCAGTGGGCTAGCACTATTAAACCAGCTTCAGTCTGGGCTAGTACAAGCAGCCGCACATACACATACACACGCATGCACGTCGTCATATGAGCGAAATATTCTCAAGCACGACGTTAAACCCAATTCCACCACCACCACCATACATACATTAAGAATTATTAAGAGGTATGCAGACTGGAGTTTAAATTTGAGTTACTTCCCTTATTCCGCGAAACCTAACCATCCAATCAAAAACGTGAGAGACAAAGCGGCAGCATTAAATGATGGAAAAGTCCGCGAAATATAGGCGAGGTTGTAAATAATATTTCCAAGACTCGTCTTATATAACCATACTGATTTATATATCAGCGTGTACTTTTACACGTTGCATCTATGAGTCGTTTTGAAGTCTGACTTTTGGAAAGTTATATAGTTTCTGCAAGTTTGAGTAGAGGTGTGCCGGTGTGATCGGTCGTTCCGCCTCACTGGGTCTGGGTGAATGTGGACGTGAATCTGACGACCCCACCATCAACATGAACAACCGATATCCACTGAGAAACATCCCAGTCCGAGGCCAGGACTACATCAACCCAACACTTGCTCACGGTAGGACGGACATGTGTGGTTCTAACTGTGTACAACACAAAGTAATTGTGAGAAATCAAAATGTGAGGTAGAAGCCATTGAGCTTAATGTCTGTTATGTCGGGTTGTATTTCGGGGATGGCCGAAGTGGGAAGAGGTGTAGGCACATTTACTCCAGTTTCCACTGTCTCCTATACGAACAAATGATAAAGAGTTCCTCCCGTTCCCCCATCCCAAATATTTGTAAATTATATACTAAAATGATTAAGAAAACTTAACACAACAATTACTAGAGAACTCACAAAAATGACTGAAAGTACAAAATTTATGTTAGGGTTAGGTGTAGAGTGAGGTTTATGGTTGGGGGAATTGAAGGAACTCTTTCTCTTACCTATCAGATATTGATTCAGCATAATGCGAGTTAGGCTGACGTTTTGTTCCAGTATTCTGAATAACAATGTACTTGTTCTGATTTTGATTTTGACTTGTGTGTATGATATATGTTCCCTTGGGTGAGATTCTCTGAATTGATTTGTTCATTTGGGTGAGATTCTCTCTGGTACATGAACTTGTTCATTTAGATGAGATTGTTCATTTAGATGAGATTCTCTAAATGGACTTGTTCATTTTGGTGAGATTCTCCTGGTACATGAACTTGTTCATTTAGATGAGATTCTCTAAATGGACGTTAGACTTTGTCATGTAATTCACTTTCAATGAATTATTCAGTGATCTGATGTTGGCCATGTTTCAGTGATGGACCTGTTGAATACCTGGCTCCCTCCAACGCCTGTGACATCACCCGATGAGATGGTCATACAACAGAGGAGTCGACGCCGCCGCAGTCCACCCAAACATCAGTCCCCAGTCACGAGCCTCAGTACAGATTTCCAGTCGTTTGGTATGTAGATCTGTTGATACATCTTGGTGTTTGTTTCTTAATGTTACACACAGCAATATTCAAGCTATAAGCTATTGTTTGTATATATTCATATCGAGGACAGACAATCCTACATTCAGCATTGTGAGCAACAATCTGTGCAGTCGGCATAAGACGTACAGCTTTGTAGCTGACAGCCTACCATTTGGTTTATTCTAACAACCAGTGTCGTCCGTGACTTTGGTCCAGTTCCAACACAGGATCCATATGGTAGGACTTGTGAGTGCTTCATACAAATGATCAAAGATTCCAGATTCTGACACCTGCCATTCATGAAACGTTCACTTGCAGAGTCACCACCCAGGGACCACCTGATGACCACGCCCGATGTGGGAGACACGCCCCTCAGACATGCAGCAGTTGCTGGTATCAGGAAGAGACTGTTGATGAGCCCAGAGTCTGACGCCACAGCACTCACAAAGGTAAGTGTAGAGTTGTGTCCCCTGGATCAGCCAGGAAAACCTGCGTCACGTATACTGTTCACTCTCTCTTTATTTGTCGATTATTCCATTTTTGATCCCAGACTCTAGCCCCGCCCTACAAAAAGACAAGGAAACGTGAGAGTGCTCAGCGTGGGATGTCGGACGACCTCCGACAGGAGCTATCAGCCTTGAGTAACCAACAGCTGATAGAAGTCATTTCCAACATTGCAAAACGATATTCCCTGCAGAAGGTCAGTCACTGAGTTATCCCCTTTTGTTGAACCTGTGTTAATTACATCACATAGCAGTGTTATTTGTTTGTTTTATGGAAATGAATCCTAGTTAACTATTCAGTTTCAACTTGGGAACTAACATGTAACAATATAAAGTTCCAGACCATGGTGAACTTCCAGTCTATATATAGTACCCAGCACACCACTGCCCCCTGCTGAATCTCAACAGTGAAACTATGTCAATACTGTTTGATAATGAATAACATCCTATACTGATTTTGAAGGGGGTGATGACTTCCATTGATATACTGTATAGTCATATGTGCAAATCTTTACAAATTGTGTTTGAATATTACTGCATATGGATGCCATCTATCCCATGTAATCATGTTTTGAGTTGTCTCCCCTACATGTGTGCAGGAAGTGAGGTCAGCATTACCCGCCCCTGATGTGTCCCCGCTGGTGAGGAACCTGGAGTTCTTCTGTCGCAACATTCTTCGATCTCTGCCGACATCACGGCTGATGAAGGATGCTGGATGCTACCATCGAGTGCGCACCCACATCGACAACTTTAAGGTAGCAGAAGAGTCCCTGTTCTTACATAGTATACCAGGAGCAGATGTATAGGGCTACCATCGAGTGAAGGGTGCGCACCCACATCGACAACTTTAAGGTAGTGGCCCAGTCCCTGTTCTTACATAGTATACCAGGAGCAGATGTATAGGGCTACCATCGAGTGCGCACCCACATCGACAACTTTAAGGTAGCAGAAGACTCCAAACTTTAGTCTCAAAGTGGCCCAGTCCCTGTTCTTACATAGTATACCAGGAGCAGATGTATAGGACCAGCAGAAGTGAAGGGTGTGGGACCAGGAGAAGTGAAGGGTGTAGGACCAGCAGAAGTGAAGGGTGTAGGACCAGCAGAAGTGAAGGGTGTAGGACCAGCAGAAGTGAAGGGTGTAGGACCAGCAGAAGTGAGGGGTGTAGGACCAGCAGAAGTGAAAGGACCAGCAGGACCAGCCAGCAGAAGTGAAGGGTGTAGGACCAGCAGAGAGGTGTGGGACCAGCAGAAGTGAAGGGTGTAGGACCAGCAGAAGTGAAGGGTGTGGGACCAGCAGAAGTGAAGGGTGTAGGACCAGCAGAAGTGAAGGGTGTAGGACCAGCAGAAGTGAAGGGTGTAGGACCAGCAGAAGTGAAGGGTGTAGGACCAGCAGAAGTGAAGGGTGTAGGACCAGCAGAAGTGAAGGGTATGGGACCAGCAGAAGTGAAGGGTGTAGGACCAGCAGAAGTGAAGGGTGTAGGACCAGCAGAAGTGAAGGGTGTAGGACCAGCAGAAGTGAGGGGTGTAGGACCAGCAGAAGTGAAGGGTGTAGGACCAGCAGAAGTGAAGGGTGTAGGACCAGCAGAAGTGAAGGGTGTAGGACCAGCAGAAGTGAAGGGTGTAGGACCAGCAGAAGTGAAGGGTGTAGGACCAGGAGAAGTGAAGGGTGTAGGACCAGCAGAAGTGAAGGGTGTAGGACCAGCAGAAGTGAAGGGTGTAGGACCAGGCAGGGTGTGGACCAGGGTGTAGGACCAGCAGAAGTGAAGGGTGTAGGACCAGCAGAAGTGAAGGGTGTAGGACCAGCAGAAGTGAAGGGGTGTAGGACCAGCAGAAGTGAAGGGTGTAGGACCAGCAGAAGTGAAGGGGTGTGGGACCAGCAGAAGTGAGAAGTGTGGACCAGCAGAAGTGAAGGGTGTGAGGAGCAGAAGTGAAGGGTGTAGGACCAGCAGAAGGGTGAACCAGGGTGTGGGACCAGCAGAAGTGAAGGGTGTAGGACCAGCAGAAGTGAAGGGTGTGGACCAGCAGAAGTGAAGGGTGTGAGGGACCAGCAGAAAGTGAAGGGTGTAGGACCAGCAGAAGTGAAGGGTGTAGGACCAGCAGAAGTGAAGGTGAGGGTGTGTAGGACCAGCAGGACCAGTGAAGGGTGGACCAGCAGAAGTGAAGGGTGTGGGACCAGCAGAAGTGAAGGGTGTGGACCAGCAGAAGTGAAGGGTGTAGGACCAGCAGAAGTGAAGGACCAGTGAAGGACCAGCAGGAAGTGAAGGGTGTAGGACCAGCAGAAGTGAAGGGTGTAGGACCAGCAGAAGTGAAGGGTGTGGGACCAGCAGAAGTGAAGGGGTGTGGGACCAGCAGGTGTGAAGGACCAGCAGAAGTGAGGGGTGTAGGACCAGGAGAAGTGAAGGGTGTAGGACCAGCAGAAGTGAAGGGTGTAGGACCAGGAGAAGTGAAGGGTGTGGGACCAGCAGAAGTGAAGGGTGTAGGACCAGCAGAAGTGAAGGGTGTAGGACCAGCAGAAGTGAAGGGTGTAGGACCAGCAGAAGTGAAGGGTGTAGGACCAGCAGAAGTGAGGGGTGTGGGACCAGCAGAAGTGAGGGGTGTAGGACCAGCAGAAGTGAGGGTGTGGGACCAGCAGAAGTGAGGGGTGTAGGACCAGCAGAAGTGAAGGGTGTGGGACCAGCAGAAGAAGGAAGGGTGTAAGGACCAGGACCAGCAAGTGAAGGGTGGGACCAGCAGAAGTGAAGGGTGTAGGACCAGCAGAAGTGAAGGACCAGGGAAGTGAGTGGACCAGCAGAAGTGAAGGGTGTGGGACCAGCAGAAGTGAGGGGTGTGGGACCAGCAGAAGTGAAGGGTGGGGGACCAGCAGAAGTGAGGGGTGTAGGACCAGCAGAAGTGAAGGGTGTAGGACCAGCAGAAGTGAAGGGTGTAGGACCAGCAGAAGTGAAGGGTGTAGGACCAGCAGAAGTGAAGGGTGTAGGACCAGCAGAAGTGAAGGGTGTAGGACCAGCAGAAGTGAGGGGTGTAGGACCAGGAGAAGTGAAGGGTGTAGGACCAGCAGAAGTGAAGGGTGTGTGAGGACCAGCAGAAGTGAAGGAGTGTGGGACCAGCAGAAGTGAAGGGTGTGGGACCAGGAGAAGTGAAGGGTGTAGGGCCAGCAGAAGTGAAGGGTGTGGGACCAGCAGAAGTGAGGGGTGTGGGACCAGCAGAAGTGAGGGGTGTAGGACCGCAGGAGCAGGACCAGCAGGTGTGGACCAGGACAGAAGTGAAGGGTGTAGGACCAGCAGAAGTGAAGGGTGTGAGGACCAGCAGGACCGCAGTGAAGGTGTGAAGGACCTGGAGAAGTGAAGGGTGTAGGACCAGCAGAAGTGAAGGGTGTAGGACCAGAAAGGTGAAGGGTGAAGGCAGAAGTGAAGGGTGTGGGACCAGCAGAAGTGAAGGAGTGTCACGACCAGCAGAAGTGAAGGGTGTAGGACCAGCAGAAGTGAGGGTGTGGGACCAGCAGAAGTGAGGGGTGTGGGACCAGCAGAAGTGAAGGGTGTGGGACCAGCAGGAGTGAAGGGTGTAGGACCAGCAGAAGTGAAGGGTGTAGGACCAGCAGAAGTGAAGGGTGTAGGACCAGCAGAAGTGAGGGGTGTAGGACCAGCAGAAGTGGGTGTGGGACCAGCAGAAGTGAGGGGTGTAGGACCAGCAGAAGTGAAGGGTGTAGGACCAGCAGAAGTGAAGGGTGTAGGACCAGCAGAAGTGAAGGGTGTAGGACCAGCAGAAGTGAAGGGTGGGACCAGGGTGGGACCAGCAGAAGTGAGAGGGGGACCCAGCAGAAGTGAAGGGTTTAGGACCAGCAGAAGTGAGGGGTGTAGGACCAGCAGAAGTGAGGGGTGTGGGACCAGCAGAAGTGAGGGGTGTGGGACCAGCAGAAGTGAAGGTAGACTAATGCTTAGTCTCTGAATATGTATTTCTTTGACAGTAACAAGCAAGCCCATTTAAATTGAGACAGACTACCGTGAAGGGTGACCTGTATATGATATACAGAAATTAGACTAGTATCGTAACGGATGGAACTGACAGGGAAGGCTAGTATTTCAGTTGTATACAAGATGAGCTAGTCTAGTATTGACAGTTATCCACAAATGCATGTTAGAATCTGGGTTAGAATTGATCTTCAGTAACCCGTGCTTGAGAGGCAACTAACAGGATCGGGTGGTCAGGCTCTCTGACTTGGTCGTCAGGTCCCTAGTGTAATCACACATGTTGTTTGGCTGGAGTGAGAGGACAGGGCAGAAGCAGGAGGCCTTAGCTCAGTGTGGGGTCTTGGGGAGTGGTGGGGGAGGCTCCCATGAGCTAATAGTAAACACTAGTGACATCTAGAGATCAACTGATAGCTACAAGTGCTCTGTTCGCTTGTGAATTCAGCAGAATGGTACAGACCTTGTAGCTGTGGAAATCTAGACTCGCCACATTTTCGAGACTTGTGTGGGACTTCTTGGCTATATTTGCTTCAGGGTCTGTATGACAGCCAAATGCCATCAGTTCCCAATTGCGTAGATCAATGCTCATTGTGTTGATCACTGGATTGTCTGGTCGAGACTCGATTATGTACAAACTGCGGCCATATAGCTAGAATATGGCTGAGTTCGGCGTAAAACTAAATTCAGTCACTCACTTACTTGTTGCAATGTTTCATATTATTCGAGGAACATTCACATATTACAGAACATTTATTTGGTAATGTTACCAAGGTTACTACCTCCACAGATTGTTCCCTGTTCCAGGAAGCCTGTATCAGCCAAGGGAGACAACTCCAGCAGTGTAGGGCGTGGCTTGCTCTGTGGGACTATGTGCGGGGAGCCTGGGTTGTGGTGGACAAGCTTCCTGTCTGGTGCCATGGCAACCAGAACAAGGCCAAATTGGCATGTCAAAGGTCACTGGCAACTATGGCAAAAACAGTGGCAAAAAGTGGTGGACTTACCCAGACAAGTCTCACCCAACTCATCAAGTGGTGAGTAACCATGGAAACAACAGCGTTTGATCCATCAATTGACTGAGTGGACACTACTATTGATGCTGGAACTAATTAAGGAAACTGGATATTATTTCTCTGTCTATGTCTCCTCCTTTCTCTCTGTCCCTGCCCTTCATCTTCCCTTCTTACACTCCCGGCTCGCACCTGTCAGCTGTCTCTCTCCTCCCTGGGGCAGCCTAGTAGCTAGTGTCACGACGAAGACCCTGGTTGGATTCCCTACTTGGCTATGTAACAGGGTGGAAAATATTGTATATATTTTGGTTTGGTTTGGTGTTTGGTTTTAGATATAACACTCTCTCTGTGTGCTGCAGGTGCAGGGAGAGACAGGGAGACTGCCCCGCCCTGGCTGCTTGTGTTCTGATGGTGGAACAGACCTGACTGTCACCCCGACTGCCGACTCATGTACAACACAGACCCAACTCAGTTGCTCCACCAGTCTCCATAGGATGTGTTATCAAGTGATGGCTTCAACATACGTCCAACATGGCAGCATGTGGAAACATGTTGTGCGGACAACACTACTTACTTGTTGCAATGTTTCATATTATTCGAGGAACATTCACATATTACAGAACATTTATTTGGTAATGTTACCAAGGTTACCACCTCTTCAGATGGAGTTGCTTTTCCCACATTTCCTGTTGTTTTATTCATTTACTGGTTGCCATGGTAACTGATATTGTTGATGTTAATAGATAATGGTTTTGAATTGAATTATTTCATGAAATATGTTAAATCTGATGTTAAAAACATTCAGCATCATGTTTTACTCTGTAGTAGTTACCTCCCCTTACTTCATTGTGGAATTCACCACAAGAGCCGTGGTATGGATGGGACTGAGGGGGGCACCATCTTGACATTGTTACTTCTGCAATTATGTTTGTGAATAAATATTTTAATGAAGTCAGTGTTCCGTTCCTCCTCCAAACTGTATTCTGAATCAGCTGCAGACTGCAGAATCTCCAGTTCACAAGATATGGAGATGGTTAGTATTTGTGCAGGGTTACAATTCCCTCAGCAGGGTTGCCTCCCTTCAGGCTACCAGGATCCTGTGATCCCCTTCTTCATTCTCAGGGTTTTTTTAAGGGGGGGGGGGGGGACTAGCACTAGTAGTAGTTAATGTGCTGAAGTTTCCAGGGATGAGAATTTTCATCCCTGAGTTTCTGAGCAAAGTTGTGGGTTCAAATCTGGGCTTCCCCTGATTACACAGGTTTGTCAGTGATATAACCATGTGTATGTGTGAGACCTGCAGAAGACTGTCCGCCCACATGAAGCTGACACACTGATATAACAGGATTACTACGAGGGTGAACATATCGGGGTTCACTGATATAACAGGATTACTACGAGGATGAACATATCAGGGTTCACTGATATAACAGGATTACTACGAGGATGAACATATCAGGGTTCACTGATATAACAGGATTACTACGAGGATGAACATATCAGGGTTCACTGATATAACAGGATTACTACGAGGGTGAACATATCAGGGTTCACTGATATAACAGGATTACTACGAGGATGAACATATCGGGTTCACTGATATAACAGGATTACTACGAGGATGAACATATCGGGGTTCACTGATATAACAGGATTACTACGAGGATGAACATATCAGGGTTCACTGATATAACAGGATTACTACGAGGATGAACATATCGGGTTCACTGATATAACAGGATTACTACGAGGATGAACATATCAGGGTTCACTGATATAACAGGATTACTACGAGGGTGAACATATCAGGGTTCACTGATATAACAGGATTACTACGAGGATGAACATATCAGGGTTCACTGATATAACAGGATTACTACGAGGATGAACATATCGGGGTTCACTGATATAACAGGATTACTACGAGGGTGAACATATCAGGGTTCACTGATATAACAGGATTACTACTTCAGGGATGAACATATCGGGGTTCACTGATATAACAGGATTACTACGAGGGTGAACATATCAGGGTTCACTGATATAACAGGATTACTACGAGGATGAACATATCAGGGTTCACTGATATAACAGGATTACTACGAGGATGAACATATCAGGGTTCACTGATATAACTGGATTACTACGAGGGTGAACATATCGGGTTCACTGATATAACAGGATTACAGGGATGAACATATCAGGGTCCACTGATATGACAGGATTACTACGAGTGAACATATCAGGGTTCACTGATATGACAGGATTACTACGAGGGTGAACATATCGGGTTCACTGATATAACAGGATTACTACGAGGGTGAACATATCGGGGTTCACTGATATAACAGGATTACTACGAGGGTGAACATATCAGGGTTCACTGATATAACAGGATTACTACGAGGATGAACATATCGGGTTCACTGATATAACAGGATTACTACGAGGGTGAACATATCAGGGTTCACTGATATAACAGGATTACTACGAGGGTGAACATATCAGGGTTCACTGATATAACAGGATTACTACGAGGATGAACATATCAGGGTTCACTGATATAACAGGATTACTACGAGGATGAACATATCGGGGTTCACTGATATGACAGGATTACTACGAGGGTGAACATATCAGGGTTCACTGATTTGACAGGATTACTGGTGGGATCAAGTAAAGGGTTGTTATCACACCTGGTGGACTTCCCTCCAACACAGCTGGTCATATTCGTGACGTACTGTCTCCCTACAGGAGTAGTTAGGGAATGGCCGTTGTATTTTATGTTACCCTGACCAGTCAGAGTGAGCGGGAGAAGAAAAAAGCTGAAAGTACAGAAATGTTTACTAATTTCATACCTTATTTTGTATTTAAAACTTGTCGTTCGAGCTGCTGTGCTTCAAAACTTTTTTTATTACATGTTGATGAAAGATCAGGCACACCTGTATTTTATTCCCCTGTGAGCAAGTTAAGAGTAGTTTTATTCCAGGGAAAAGAATTGTTGGTTAAAACTGAGATCAGAAAACTTTCTATTATACACCCGTGCATTAAGCACCACCCTATTTTGAAAATAAGATGTGATGCTATAGAAAAGTTAGGGTATAGCCATCAATTTAATCAACCTGTAGCTAAGAAGAAGCTTTATCCACTGTCAGTTTTACAAATACCATAACCGTTTCTATTCTTTATGAAAGAATATGTTGATGAAAATGTGATGGGACTGAATTTTACCCAAATAACTGTTCCTCTCCTGCTCAAACTACACAATTAATTAAGTTTTGACTAAAAATAACAATTCTGTTATATACCAAGATGACATTTACACATCAAGCAAGCTTTAATTATGCACAATCAGGAAGAACCCAAATGTCAATGATTCAGATCTTTTTCCAACAATACAGATTGCTAATTGACAAAAACTGAAAAAGGCCGCATTAATGATTTTGGAATAATTTTTTTATGATTTTGAGTTTATTGTAATGAATAAACACTTCTTGCCGGATAATTACAACTAAAATCTGTTTGTTTTCTTTGTAAAGCAACTTTTACTGCATTTTAAAATGTACCTGTGAGTGTGACCAGCTCACAGTGATTGTGTAGCTGTGATGTGTGAATGGGACCAGCACAGTGATTGTGTAGCTGTGGATGTGACCAGCACACACTGATTGTATAGCTGTGATGTGTCCAGCACACACTGATTGTATAGCTGTGAATGTGACCAGCACACAGTGACTATGTAGCTGTGAATGTGACCAGCACACACTGATTGTATAGCTGTGAGTGCGACTGACCAGCACACAGTGACTATGTAGCTGTGAATGTGACCAGCACACACTGATTGTATAGCTGTGAGTGCGACCAGCACACAGTGACTATGTAGCTGTGAATGCGACCAGCACACACTGATTGTATAGCTGGTGGAGTGTGACCAGCACACAGTGACTATGTAGCTGTGAATGTGACCAATAGCACACACATTGATTGTATAGCTGTGAATGCGACCAGCACACAGTGATTGTGTAGCTATGTGACCAGCACACACACTGATTGTATAGCTGTGAATGTGACCAGCACACAGTGACTATGTAGCTGTGAATGTGACCAGCACACACTGATTGTATAGCTGTGAGTGTGACCAGCACACAGCGACTATGTAGCTGTGAATGTGACCAGCACACACTGATTGTATAGCTGTGAATGTGACCAGCACACAGTGATTGTGTAGCTGTGAATGTGACCAGCACACACTGATTGTATAGGCTGTGAGTGCGGACCAGCGCACAGTGACTATGTAGCTGTGAATGTGACCAGCACACACTGATTGTATAGCTGTGAATGTGACCAGCACACAGTGACTGTGTAGCTGTGAATGTGACCAGCACACACTGATTGTATAGCTGTGAATGTGACCAGCACACGAGTGACTATGTAGCTGTGAATGTGACCAGCACACACTGATTGTATAGCTGTGAGTGTGACCAGCACACAGTGACTATGTAGCTGTGAATGTGACCAGCACACACTGATTGTATAGCTGTGAGTGTGACCAGCACACAGTGACTATGTAGCTGTGAATGTGACCAGCACACACTGATTGTATAGCTGTGAGTGTGACCAGCACACAGTGACTATGTAGCTGTGAATGTGACCAGCACACACTGATTAAATAGCTGTGAATGTGACCAGCACACACTGATTGTATAGCTGTGAATGTGACCAGCACACAGTGACTATGTAGCTGTGAATGTGACCAGCACACACTGATTGTATAGCTGTGAGTGTGACCAGCACACAGTGACTATGTAGCTGTGAATGTGACCAGCACACACTGATTGTATAGCTGTGAGTGTGACCAGCACACAGTGACTATGTAGCTGTGAATGTGACCAGCACACACTGATTGTATAGCTGTGAATGTGACCAGCACACAGTGATTGTATAGCTGTGGAGTGTGACCAGCACACAGTGACTATGTAGCTGTGAATGTGACCAGCACACACTGATTGTATAGCTGTGAATGTGACCAGCACACAGTGATTGTATAGCTGTGAGTGTGACCAGCACACAGTGACTATGTAGCTGTGAATGTGACCAGCACACACTGATTGTATAGCTGTGAATGTGACCAGCACACACTGATTGTATAGCTGTGAGTGTGACCAGCACACAGTGACTATGTAGCTGTGAATGTGACCAGCACACACTGATTGTATAGCTGTGGAATGTGACCAGCACACACTGATTGTATAGCTGTGAGTGTGACCAGCACACAGTGACTATGTAGCTGTGAATGTGACCAGCACACACTGATTGTATAGCTGTGAATGAGACCAGCACACAGTGATTGTATAGCTGTGAGTGTGACCAGCACACAGTGACTATGTAGCTGTGAATGTGACCAGCACACACTGATTGTATAGCTGTGAGTGTGACCAGCACACAGTGACTATGTAGCTGTGAATGTGACCAGCACACACTGATTAAATAGCTGTGAATGTGCAGCCAGCACACTGATTGTATAGCTGTGAGTGTGACCAGCGCACAGTGACTATGTAGCTGTGAATGTGACCAGCACACACTGATTGTATAGCTGTGAATGTGACCAGCACACACTGATTGTATAGCTGTGAGTGTGACCAGCACACAGTGACTATGTAGCTGTGAATGTGACCAGCACACACTGATTGTATAGCTGTGAATGTGACCAGCACACACTGATTGTATAGCTGTGAGTGTGACCAGCACACAGTGACTATGTAGCTGTGAATGTGACCAGCACACACACACTGATTGTATAGCTGTGAATGTGACCAGCACACTGATTGTATAGCTGTGAGTGTGACCAGCACACAGTGACTATGTAGCTGTGAATGTGACCAGCACACACTGATTGTATAGCTGTGAATGTGACCAGCACACAGTGATTGTATAGCTGTGAGTGTGACCAGCACACAGTGACTATGTAGCTGTGAATGTGACCAGCACACACACTGATTGTATAGCTGTGAATGTGACCAGCACACACTGATTGTATAGCTGTGAGTGTGACCAGCACACAGTGACTATGTAGCTGTGAATGTGACCAGCACACACCGATTGTATAGCTGTGAATGTGACCAGCACACAGTGACTATGTAGCTGTGAGTGTGACCAGCACCTACAGTGACTATGTAGCTGTGGTGTGACCAGCACACACCTCGATTGTATAGCTGTGATGTGTTCACGAAAACACTTTTGGATACCCGCCTTTATCGCCCACACAATGCCACGATCCTCGTCTACCTTTCACTCACATGCAACCTGGTACAGCATCAACGAAGGTCTTTTGTTAATGTTGTCGACAGCAGGACAACACTCGTGACCCACTATCTGTACCACCTCATGCCACATTAACAGATCAGACAGGTCCTAGGTCGGGTAGTTGGAGCGCCGGGTCCTAGGTCGGGTAGTTGGAGACGCGGTCCCAGGTGGGGTAGTTGGAGACGCCGGTCCTAGGTGGGGTAGTTGGAGACACCGGTCCTAGGTCGGGGGTAGTTGGAGAGGCCTTGGTCCTAGGTCGGGTAGTTGGAGACGCCCGGTCCCTAGGTGGGGTAGTTGGAGACGCCGGTCCTAGGTCGGGGTAGTTGGAGACACCGGTCCTAGTCGGGGTAGTTGGAGACACCGGTCCCTAGGTCGGGTAGTTGGAGACACCGGTCCTAGGTCGGGGGTAGTTGGAGACACCTGTCCTAGGTCGGGGTAGTTGGAGACGCCGGTCCTAGGTCGGGGTAGTTGGAGAACGCCGGTCCTAGGTCGGGGTAGTTGGAGACACCGGTCCTAGTGGGGTAGTTGGAGACACCGGGTCCTAGGTCGGGGTAGTTGGAGACACCGGTCCTAGGTGGGGTAGTTGGAGACACCTGTCCTAGGTCGGGGTAGTTGGAGACACCTGTCCTAGGTCGGGGTAGTTGGAGACACCTGTCCTAGGTCGGGGTAGTTGGAGACACCCGGTCCTAGGTCGGGGTAGTTGGAGACACCCGGTCCAGTCGCCTGGAGAAGTACAGGAGCGATTATTTATGGATAGACAACTGCTTTATTGCAATAGATGAGAGACATGTCGGTGTCGATACTAACACCTCCATCAAGCATGTCGATACTAACACCTCCATCAAGCATGTCGATACTAACACCTCCAAGCATGTCGATACTAACACCTCCATCAAGCATGTCGATACTAACACCTCCATCAAGCATGTCGATACTAACACCTCCATCAAGCGTAATCGATACTAACACCTCCATCAAGCATGTCGATACTAACACCTCCATCAAGCATGTTGTCTATCCATAAACAAAATCGTTCCTGTTTATCATACCAACTTCTAAATGCCACTCAAAGAAGTTCAGAAGAATCCTGGTCACAGACGAGTATGGAGAACTGTCGATCAATGGTCCACAGTGGGAGAATGTTTCAGTGACGGTTTTAAAACTTAACATTGTCAGTTTTGGGGTGGGAGCTGGGAGACGTGTAGGATGGAGAACACAGGTCATCAGTGTTACTGGCAGCTTCAATGTCGGAAACAGTTACGTGCTTGTGGACATAACCAATGTCCACATGTTGCGCGTGTTGTAACAGCGTTCTCAAGGCTGGATATGACTGGTTGTTTCTCCAGCGGTCTCTGCCCAATCAACTGGTCGGAGATCAGGGTTGACAACGCCGCTGTAGGCGTGTACTCTGGTCTGTGCTATAATTGGAACAGGGGAAATTGCACGCTATGTCCAACAAGGGAGATAACCAGATCACACTAGACACTTGACATTTGAATACAACAATTACACCCATTGCATATATACTTGCATAATGAACACATTAGCATGTCCTCACACAGCGAGGTGTAGCGTGACGTAGACCTCGACCAGGAAGTAAGTCACAATAACATTGCCTCGCTATTTAGTTCCGTGTTGGAAGTCATTGTTGGGTGACGAGGCAGGGCTTTAGGCTGTCCTACACACAAGTGTACCCGTCAGCTGTACCTTCCCCACCCCGTGCTACAGGAGTGTGTCCCGGTGGACAGCCTCCAGCCTCCTACAGTTGAAACCATCAGCCCCGTGAAGTCAGGACATTCTTAGTGGAGGTACTCCTGGGGTAACTGTTATCACTCATTGTCACTGTTGACTGTGAGTGTGTGGTGTATGTGTGTGTGTGTGTGTGTGTGTGTGTGTTTGTGTGTGTGTGTGTGTGTGTGTGTGTGTGTGTGTGTTGTGTGTGTGTGTGTGTGTGAGGGAGAGGGAGAGAGAAATAGTTACTTAACCAGGTAACTGTTATAACACATTGTCACGGTTGTCTCTCTGTGTGTGTGTGTGTGTGTGTGTGTGTGTGTGAGAGAGAGAGAGGGTGGGGGGAGAGTGAGTGTGTGGTTGCGTGTGTGTGGTTGCGTGTTTTAAGCATATGTATATCCTAGTGAAATGAATTGGCAAGTCTAATGGTTACCCTAATGCCGCTCCGATACAAAGACGTGGAAATATATTGCATGACCCGTTAAAGCAATAATGCAATATTCCATTACAAGTACATGATAAAAAGTATACGACGATATTGGTTAATTAATTCTACCGTATCAACATTGCCACATAAAGCTGTTGCCACCGGTCCTAGGTCAGGGTAGTTGGAGACACCGGTCCAGTCGCCTGGAGAGTACAGGAACGATTATTTATGGATAGACAACTGCTTTATTGCAATAGATGGAGACATGTCGGTGTCGATACTAACACCTCCATCAAGCATGTCGATACTAACACCTCCATCAAGCATGTCGATACTAACACCTCCATCAAGCATGTCGATACTAACACCTCCATCAAGCATGTCGATACTAACACCTCCATCAAGCATGTCGATACTAACACCTCCATCAAGCATGTCGATACTAACACCTCCATCAAGCATGTCGATACTAACACCTCCATCAAGCATGTCGATACTAACACCTCCATCAAGCATGTCGATACTAACACCTCCATCAAGCATGTCGATTCTAACACCTCCATCAAGCATGTCGATACTAACACCTCCATCAAGCATGTCGATACTAACACCTCCATCAAGCATGTTGTCTATCCATAAACCACATACTTCCTGTTTATCATACCAACTTCTAAATGCCACTCAAAGAAGTTCAGAAGAATCCTGGTCACAGACGAGTATGGAGAACTGTCGATCAATGGTCCACAGTGGGAGAATGTTTCAGTGACGGTTTTAAAACTTAACATTGTCAGTTTTGGGGTGGGAGCTGGGAGACGTGTAGGATGGAGAACACAGGTCATCAGTGTTACTGGCAGCTTCAATGTCGGAAACAGTTACGTGCTTGTGGACATAACCAATGTCCACATGTTGCGCGTGTTGTAACAGCCTTCTCAAGGCAGGATATGACTGGTTGTTTCTCCAGCGGTCTCGCCCAATCAACTGGTCGGAGATCAGGGTTGACAGTCCCGCTGTAGGCGTGTACTCGGTTTGTGCTATAATTGGAACAGGGGGGAAGTTGCACGCGCTATGTCCAACAAGGGAGATAACCAGATCACAATAGACACTTGACATTTGAATACAACAATTACACCCATTGCATATATACTTGCATAATGAACACATTAGCATGTCCTCACACAGCGAGGTGTAGCGTGACGTAGACCTCGACCAGGAAGTAAGTCACAATAACATTGCCTCGCTATTTAGTTCCGTGTTGGAAGTCATTGTTGGGTGACGAGGCAGGGCTTTAGGCTGTCCTACACACAAGTGTACCCGTCAGCTGTACCTTCCCCACCCCGTGCTACAGGAGTGTGTCCCGGGTGGACAGCCTCCAGCCTCCCTACAGTTGAAACCATCAGCCCCGTGAAGTCAGGACATTCTTAGTGGAGGACCTCCTGGAGGTAACTGTTATCACTCATTGTCACGGTTGACTGTGAGTGTGTGGTGTGTGTGGTGTGTGTGTGTGTGTGTGTGTGTGTGTGTGTGTGTGTGTGTGTGTGTGTGTGTGTGAGAGAGAGGGGGAGAGGGAGAGAGAAATAGTTACTTAACCAGGTAACTGTTATAACACATTGTCACGGTTGTCTCTCTGTGTGTTGTGTGTGTGTGTGTGTGTGTGTGTGTGAGAGTGAGAGAGAGGGGGGGGGGAGGGAGAGTGAGTGTGTGGTTGCGTGTGTGGTTGCGTGTTTTAAGCGTATGTATATCCTAGTGAAATGAATTGGCAAGTCTAATGGTTACCCTAATGCCGCTCCGATACAAAGACGTGGAAATATATTGCATGACCCGTTAAACAATAATGCAATATTACATTACAAGTACATGTGTATGATAAAAGTATACGACGATATTGGTTAATTAATTCTACCGTATCAACATTACCCAATAAAGCTGTTGTAAATTATATCCATTTATATACTGAAACATGAAGTTTATAATTATATACTCCAATAATAAATATTACCACAATGATAAAATATTTATACATGGTGGTGGCCCTTTATAACACCTCAGCCAGTTAATCATGGGCGTGGCCCTTTCTACACTGCAATCAGTCTGGGCGGTCCAATTTGCATATGTAGGGCTGGTGAAGTGGTTGGCAATGCCGGCGTGTCGCTTCAGGAGACGGCCGGGTGTGGTGGGAAGTTGTTCCTGTGATGTGGAGAGATACCCGGACAGCTGCTGGTTCGGAGTTGTTGGTGGTCGGTATACCTGTTGGGTGAAGTGAGGAACTGATGGTGTTGTCGACTAGCTTGGGTGGGCAGTGGTTGAACTGGTGGTTCGGAGTTGTTAGTGGTCGGTATACCTGTGGGTATGTGTAGCAACATGTCGAAGGAGCTGGATCTCTTGGTGAAACCATATCGAAGGTGCTGGATCTCTGGGTGAAACCATGTCGAAGGTGCTGGATGTTTGTGTAGCAACATGTCGAAGGTGTTGGATTTCTATGGTAGGGGATGTTGCAGGAGAGACGTACGGCCTATGTACGTTTTACATCTCGACCTATAAGCGTCAGAATCAAAGAACACTTAACATCTACCGTCATCTCAGGCCGCACATCAGCTAATTGAAACCACAAAATTAAGTGCACAAACCCCAACTTAAACTGGGATAATGTAGAAATATTATAAAAAAGAAATCTCCACGACTTCATCGAAAACAAAATGGCAGAAGCAGTTCAAATCCGCCGACACAAGGCCTCTGTCTACAGAGGCCAAGGGTATCTCATCCCATTCGCCTGTAACTAACTGATAAAACACCGGATCAAATTGTCAAATGTAACACATTTTATTACTTATATTAAGTTGAGTCCCATCCGGGATTCGAACCCACGCTCTCAGAGTGAGGGACCCAATCGCCAGCACACAAGGTCAGCCATCTAACCCACTTAGCCAGCCAACGCGGCTCCGATGGCTTGTCAGCCATGTACATATATGTTGTTCCGCTCACGTACAGTTGATTTCCTTCAGTTGTTACCGCACTTACCGTTGTTGTTGTTGCTGCTGTTGTTGTTGTTGTTGTTAAGCCCTTTCATGCAAAGCATCATGTTGTTTTGTTAAATCCTATAAGATGTATATGAGTCTGTTCTGTGCTGTAGTTATTGACTCTTTCTTGACAATGGTAAAAGAATCCACACCGAAACGTCTCATCATAATATACACATGGAAAGAAATATTGCAACAGTCCATATTTTTTCATGGTATCAATATGTTACCATTAACCGTAGCAAGGGAATGTATCCCGACCTGATATTTACCTCACTCACTGAGGCGAAACAGTTAAATCTAAGCGCAAATGAATGAAAAACTGTTGTTTATTCAGAGTTGCAAACGTTGCAAAAACCTGACGCAGTTTGTAGTGTTGATAGCTACGTATGACGTTAACTAGTACGATCATGTTTAAATTCTGGAATACAATCGCCACGAAACGAATAAATAACCGAGAACAATGTCAGGATCTGATGTAACCTCAGCCAACCTGGCCCGGATACAGGAACCACTCAGCAAGCGTAGTCTTGAACCAGGACGGAAACTAATACAACCGACCTCGTAACAATGACTTGTGTCTAAACTGTCAAGAAAGTGCCGTCTTATTTATCTTCGCAAATGTCAGCGATGACAAAACTCAACTGTTCTCCACTCAAAATGCGATTATCTAGAAAAACAAAACGAATATCTGAGAAAAGACGGTGGGAATCTCACTAAACAACTTGACTATCTACAGAAGAAAAATCGAAGAAACAATCTTTTGTGAAACACTGTCAATATTATGTGTATGGACGACACATACTGTTTTTACACAGGTTCGGAATAACAGGTTGAAACCGTTTGTTGAATTACAGGAAAAGCTTCCTGAATGTCAGGAAGATTTACTGACAAACTTCATTGTTGACATTATATCTCCAGTTCAGAAATACCTGTCGAATGGGAAGGTTCAAGGTTGTATTACCTGCTTGTAGATTTCCATAATCTTTGTTTGCAAAGGAACTGCATTGGTTGTTCTTCACGTGAACGGATATTCAGAGGAAAATGTTTTCTACTGTAAATGATATCTGTTCCAAATCATTATCTTCGGGTAAAGTTTCAAAGATTTGAATATTTGAATTTTTAAATTGCTACCGTCATGTTAGACAAGGATGCAGTTTAAGTCCACTTTTGTTTTCACTATTAATATAAGCAGTTGGAGAATGATATCTAACAGTTTGGAGGGAGATAATAATAATAATAACGTCCGTGTCAACCTCTTTCCTCTTGCTGATGGAAACTCTTCCGGCATAGAATTTGGGACTGGGATCTGAGAGTTCCGGCTGGATTATACTGGCTTACAAGTTCACACAAATAGGATGGCGCGATAGCGTTAAGGCACTGGTATGCGAGTACAAGAACTTTAAACTCAATTCTAGCTGAGATGGGCAGCCAGTGTAGGGATCGTAGAAGTGGCTGTAAATGTGCAAACTTTGGAGCAAGACACACAATTCGGGCTGCAGTATTTTGTATTTTTTGTAGCTTTGAAACATATTCTTGTCACACACCACACAGAAGGCTATTGCAATAGTCCAGGCGTGAGAATATCAGTGTTCGAACTAATGCAGCGACAGCTTCCGGGGATATAAGATGCCTTACTTTGCCGATGTTTCTTAAATGAAAATGGCATTTTCGACATAGCTCTTGTATATGACAGTCCATACTTAATGTGGACTCCATCAAGACACCCAGATTCCTAACCACAGGTACAAATGGTATACTGTGACATACAGACAGGTGCGTAACACCTACTTTCGTCACCATTGCATCCGTACCAATAAGCATAGCTTCTGTTCTATCTTGATTCAACTTTAATTTGTTTGTTGACATCCAGGATGCAATCTGGACGGTGCATGATTCTAATTTAGCCAGTGGTTGTCTATCATCAAGATTCAAACGGTCTGACATCTGAGTATCGTCTGCATACATATGGTGATCAACAGAATTATTATCAATCACATGGCCCAGTTGGGTGGTGTACACAGTAAACAGAACCGGCCCAAGAACCGAACCTTGTGGTACACCATAATCCATGTTGTGACATCTGGATTGTGACTGACCGACCACAACTGATTGGCACCTGTTCGATAAATATGATTTGATCCACGACAATTTGGAGCCTTCAAGACCAAAAACCTTCTGAAGACGATGGATGAGCTTGGGGTGATCCACGGTGTCGAAGGCCGCCGATAAATCCAAAAGAACTAGAACTGATGGATGGCCGCGGTCTACAGACAGTTGAAGGCCGTTCATGACGTGTAGCAAGGCAGTCTTGGTGCTGTGATGTGCCCTGTAGGCTGACTGGGATTTGTAGAACAGTTTATTGAGGTCAAGATGTTCCTTTAAGCGTTTATTAACAGCTTTTTCCAGGAGTTTAGACAGAAAAGGTAAATTTGAGACGGGTCTGTAGTTGTTCAACTAATTATTATCGAGGGTGGGTTTCTTCAATGTAGCTTAATAACAGCCTTGAGTGGAGGGGGGACGACTCCTGTCTCCAGACTCGTGTTGATTAACTTTGTGATGACAGGAAGAAGTACATCAACATGTTCCAACAACAACTTTGTGGGAAGTGGGTCTAAGTCACATGTTGTTGGTTTAGACTGACTGATCAGCACCAATACCTCTGCTGGAGTAAGCAGAGGAAAGGCTGTGGGAACATCACCAGTAAATTCATCACTCGTGAATCCAATATCAGAAGATAAGGCATCTAGGCCAGATCTTATCTTTTCTATTTTGGCTGGAAATAATCACTAAAGCTTGACGCTAGCTCCAAGTTATCATCTGTCTGGGCAAGACAGTATTTGGAGCTTTACCCAAAAGGGAATTCAGGTGACAGAACAAGGTCTTTGGATTACCAGGACTCTGCAATAGTTTGTCATTCGAGTACTTAGCTCTAGTAGTGTTAAGCAGTTTGTTAAGAGTATTTCTGGAATGGTTATAGATTTGTCTGTCGATCTCTAACCGAGATTTACACCATTTCCTTCCATGGATGCGTCTCTGTGTCTTGGCTTACTTGACAGCATCATTGTACCAGGGTGAGCTCGTCCTTGCACGCACCTGCTTTAATGCCTCTGAATCCTTGTGCACCAAATTTATTGAAATATTTTTGCTTTTGTATGCTGACGATTTATGTATATCTTCAGACACAGTCCCCGAACTACAAAGGAAAATAAATGTTTTACAAACATTAGCAAATGGGGTTAAAAAGCTAATCACGACAATCCTGAAGTTTTAATATTTAGATATGGAGGCAAATTAAGGCATTATGAGATGGGGAGTGAGTGAGTGAGTGAGTTAATATTTAACGTCACATCGGCAATATTTCAGCCATATCGTGACGATATGAGATGTGGAAGCTAGGGGACACACCTGTCAGGGTTTCACCATGTTCTAGGGGACACACCTGTCAGGGTTTCATCATGCTCTAGGGGACACACCTGTCAGGGTTTCACCATGTTCTAGGGGACACACCTGTCAGGGTTTCACCATGTTCTAGGGGACACACCTGTCAGGATTTCACCATGTTCTAGGGGACACACCTGTCAGGGTTTCACCATGTTATAGTTATGTAGGAATTGTGTTTTTAAATAGATTGCGTTGGTCGAAAGCTGTTCAGACAGTGGTGTCCAAAGCTAGTAAAGACCTGGTTCCTATAAAACAGCTCAGTTGTAACTGCCAAATATAATGTCGAAAGCTACGGTTCAGAACGTTTGACCTTCAGATTAAACCTTTTGTTATATATGTTTCAGAAGTGTGGGGTATTAATCAATAGTTGTTTCTCGATCGTTTCCAATGAAAGATTTGTAAATGTGTTTTGGGAGTTGGACCAATAGCTACAAACGTTGCAGTGTTAGGGGAAGGCGGTCACTTTGGTATATTGCTGATACTTCCACTCGATGTATTTAACATCCTTAGTGTGTCTAGAGAGAGGTCGTTGTGATGGGAACCCTTGTTGTATAGCATGCTATAACATGAAAACAGACGTATTCCAGCCTTATTAAAGACTGGTGAGCTAGAATATGTGCATGGTACTGGGAGGAGGCTATACGGATCTGTTTATTACGTAACTTATGTGTTATTGAAAATGAAATTCATTTTGTATTGATATGCCCCGCATATGTAAATACTCCCATTTACATTATTACATTACACATATTTCCCCTTTTCACTTTTATACATATGCTAATCCAGGAATAGTTTGGTGATAACAGTTGTCAGTTGCAGTTCTCCTTTGTAAGTCATCTTAAAACATTCAGCAAATTACATTAAAGACGCCACGAATCACTGATCTTCACAACATCGTGTAAATTCTTGATGTAGCAATCATGTTTAAATTACCTCCCTTGTTTTATCTGTACCTGGGGCCTTAATACTGAAACAAACAGGAATGATTGGCATAAATAACATTTTATCTCTAACAGATCAACCGTGCCACCCACCAAGCCCAGCTGGTAGTCGGTGGTTGGAAAGTGTGAATTGTATCAAAGCATAAATAAAGCACGTGGTGGTGGGTGGTCCTGTGCATAGAGCTCAGGTCATAAATCAGTTGAATGTTGGTCGCGGAGAGTCTATGGATGGGAGACCGTGTTTGGCAGCTTGACTCCTGAGAGTTTCTAGGACTTCAGTCCTGCCCGACAACGAAACACATGAGATACATGTGGTCTCACCTTAGGCAAGTGAGTTTGTTCAAAATTGCCTCTGTTCACCCAGCAGAAAATGGGTACCCGGTGGGATAAATCATATGACCATAACAAGCAGCTCGGGCTATCCGGGGTAATAATGTGCTGTTTGTGCGCTCTGACCACGCCCCCTTGTGGCGTGGAGTATTGCGCGGTATAAATACCCTCTTTATTAAATACATTCATTGGGTGTAAATATATTTGGGATCGATAGTATCCTTAATTCACCACATCCTTGTTTACCGTCACTCAATTTTACTTCCTCTCCCAGTCTGGACACTGCCAGGTCGTGACACAATCCGGGCTACATAACACTGTTACTTCAGCGCTGACAAGAGGGGAGAGTGTGGTCATCTGTAGTCAACACTGTCTGTCACAGATCACAGATCACAGATCACAGAGCTGACGCCAACACAAACATGACAGGTGATTTTTGTAAAGAATCGTGTTTACTTTTGAACCTTGTTAATCACCCTGCTTGTGTGTGACACCACTTTATACTCTATACCAGCCATACTAGTGCTGGATACTAATGTTGTACTAATAGACGCTATTCTACACACTGAGGTAATTATCTCATTATACATCATATACTCTTGTCATGTCGTGTGTTTGTAGTACTCCTGTCATAACCCACACTTAATAATCTGTATGTACCACACATGTGTAATATATCTGCTGACCCCACATACAAACATGGAATTATTTCTGTATGCAAGACAGAAGGATGACACCCCCGCTCGTGGTCCTCGCGACCAGGACGTATATTGTATCGCAGCTCAGTTTCCGGTTTACAGTGTAGGATGTTAAGCGTTCTCGGGAATCGTTTACGGGAATCACATACAAATCACATACTAACCAGTGTACAAGTTCTCTCTAGGTGTAGTAATTGAGTGGGACTCCCGTGACAGACGGTTGCATATTCCGCCTGCAGACAGCGAGGGCCAGAGATACCGTGAACACAGATATGTATGACATACGGACACCAGGACACCGGGAACACAGATACGTATGACATACAGACACCAGGACACGGTAAACACAGATATGTACGACATACAGACACCAGGACACTGTGAACACAGATATGTATGACATACAAACACCATGACACTGTGAACACAGATACGTATGACATACAAACACCAGGACACCGTCGATATGAACAGATATGTATGACATACACACAAATGACATTCCACCATGACACCGTGAACACAGATATGTATGACATACAGACACTACGACACCGTGAACACAGATATGTATGACATACAGACACCAGGACACCGTGAACACAGATATGTATGACATACAGACACCATGACACCGTGAACACAGATATGTATGACATACAGACACCAGGACACCGTGAACACAGATATGTATGACATACAGACACCATGACACCGTGAACACAGATATGTATGACATACAGACACCAGGACACCGTGAACACAGATATGTATGACATACAGACACCAGGACACCGTGAACACAGATATGTATGACATACAAACACCAGGACACCGTGAACACAGATATGTATGACATACAAACACCATGACACCGTGAACACAGATATGTATGACATACTGACACCATGACACCGTGAACACAGATATGTATGACATACAGACACCAGGACACCGTGAACACAGATATGTATGACATACAGACACCATGACACCGTGAACACAGATATGTATGACATACAGACACTACGACACCGTGAACACAGATATGTATGACATACAGACACCAGGACACCGTGAACACAGATATGTATGACATACTGACACTACGAAACCGTGAACACAATTATGGATGACATACAGACACCAAAGACATCGTGAACACATGACATGTATATCATACAGACACCATGACACCGTAAACACAGATATGTACGACATACTGAAACTACGACACAATGAAAACAGATATGTATGACATACAGACACCAGGAGAACATCAACACAGATATGTATTCATACAGACCCAAAGACATCGTGAACACATGTATGTATGACATATAGACACTACGGCACCGTGAACACAGATATGTAAGACATACAGACACCACGACCACCTCACTGTGTATGAAGACTGACAGTAGACCTGTCCCCACTCTGCGCCCACCTTCCCCTGTCACGTCTTGTGTCTATACGTCACCCATTTCAGACTCCAGGACGTCAGCTCCTCGTCACGTGACCGGGAGCAGCATGAGGATGTTGGGCAAGGAGGAATTGCAAGATCTCATTGCACGTGAGTTTTACCATGCACATGTAAATGTCATCCGGCTTCTGTCTAGCTTTCATTCGTTTAACATTTAGCACCCTGAATGATCCTAGGTTTGAATCTGAGGTTTGTACCCACAGTAGCTGAGACCCCAGGTACCCACAGTATCAGACATCCCAGTACCCACAGTATCAGACATCCCAGTACCCACAGTATCTGTCATCCCAGTACCCACAGTAACAGACATCCCAGTACCCACAGTATCAAACATCCCAGTACCCACAGTAGCTGAGACCCCAGTACACACAGTATCAGACATCCCAGTACCCAGAGTATCAGACATCCCAGTACCCACAGTATCTGTCATCCCAGTACCCACAGTATCTGACATCCCAGTACCCACAGTAACAGACATCCCAGTACCCACAGTATCTGACATACATCCCAGTACCCACAGTATCTGACATCCCACCTCACCATGACACCATGGTTTCTGACACCTCTGTATCTGACACCTCACCTTATGATACCCTAGTATCTGACACCCCACCTTATGACATCACAGTATCAGACACCCTAGTACCCACAGTATCTGACACCACAGTACCTACAGTATCTGACACCTCACCTCATGACACCTCTGTATCTGACACCTCACCTTAAGACATCACAGTATCTGACACCCCTCACCACACAGTATCTGACACCTCACCTCAAGACACCTCTGTATCTGACACCTCACCTTTTAGACATCACAGTATCTGACACCTCACCTCACCCCACAGTATCTGACATCACAGTACCCACACATCTGACACCTCCCTCAGACACCACAGTATCAGACACCTCACCTACACCACAGTATCAGACACCCACCTCAATACACCACAGTATCTGACACCTCACCTCCACCAGGTATCTGACACCCCATTACCCCCACACACCATCAGACACCTCACCCCAAGACACCACAGTATCAGACACCTCACCTCAAGACCCACAGTATCTGACCCTCCCAAGACCCCACAGTATCTGACACCTCACCCCAAGACACCACAGTATCTGACACCTCACCTCAAGACACCACAGTATCTGACACCTCACCTCAAGACACCACAGTATCTGACACCTCACCCCAAGACACCACAGTATCTGACACCTCACCTCCAAGACACCACAGTATCTGACACTCACCCCAAGACACCACAGTATCTGACACCTCACCTCACCTATCTGACACACCATTACCCATCAGTATCCTGACCTCACCTCAAGACACCACAGTATCAGTATCTGACACCAAGACACCACCTATCTGAGACACTCACACCAAGACACCACAGTATCTGACACCTCACCTCAAGACACCACAGTATCTGACACCTCACCCTCAAGACACCACAGTATCTGACACCTCAGTACCCACAGACACCACCCTGTATCTGGACACCTCACCCACAGTATCTGACACACCACAAGACACCACAGTATCTGACACCTCACCTCAAGACACCACATCTGACACCTCACCTAAGACACCACAGTATCTGACACCTCACCCCATTACACCACAGTGTATCTGACACCTCACCTCATTACCACCACAGTATCTGACACTCACCTCTAAGACACCCACAGTATCTGACACCTCACCCCAAGACACCACAGTATCTGACACCTCACCTCAAGACACCACAGTATCTGACACCTCACCTCAAGACACCACAGTATCTGACACCTCACCTCAAGACACCACAGTATCTGACACTCACCCCAAGACACCACAGTATCTGACACCTCACCTCAAGACACCACAGTATCTGACACCCCTCAAGACACCACAGTATCTGACACCTCACCTCAAGACACCACAGTATCACCCCAAGACACCACACCTCACCCTCAAGACACCTACAGTATCTGACACCTCACCCCAAGACACCACAGTATCTGACACCTCACCTCAAGACACCACAGTATCTGACACCTCACCTCAAGACACCACAGTATCTGACACCTCACCTCAAGACACCACAGTATCTGACACCTCACCTCAAGACACCACAGTATCTGACACCTCACCTCAAGACACCACAGTATCTGACACCTCACCTCCAAGACACCACAGTATCCTATCTCACCCTCACACCAAGTATCACCACACCCACAGTATCTGACACCTCACCCCAAGACACCACAGTATCTGACACCTCACCTCAAGACACCACAGTATCATCTGACCTCACCCTAAGACACCACAGTATCTGACACCTCACCTCAAGACACCACAGTATCTGACACCTCACCTCAAGACACCACAGTATATCTGACACCTCACCCCAAGACACCACAGTATCTGACACACTCACCCCAAGACACCACAGTATCTGACACTTCACCCCAAGACACCACAGTATCTGACACCTCACCCCAAGACACCACAGTATCTGACACCTCACCTCAAGACACCACAGTATCTGACACTCACCCTCACCCCAGACACCACAGTATCTGACACCTCACCTCAAGACACCACAGTATCTGACACCTCACCTCACCTCACAGTATCAGACCCCCCAAGTATCTGACACCTCACCCCAAGACACCACAGTATCAGACACCTCACCCCAAGACACCACAGTATCTGACACACCTCACCCCAAGACACCACAGTATCAGACATCTCACCCCAAGACACCACAGTATCTGACACCTCACCTCAAGACACCACAGTATCTGACACCTCACCTCAAGACACCACAGTATCTGACACCTCACCTCAAGACACCACAGTATCTGACACCTCACCCCAAGACACCACAGTATCTGACACCTCACCTCAAGACACCACAGTATCTGACACCTCACCCTCAAGACACCACAGTATCTGACACCTCACCTCAAGACACCACAGTATCTGACACCTCACCCCAAGACACCACAGTATCTGACACCTCACCTCAAGACACCACAGTATCTGACACCTCACCTCAAGACACCACAGTATCTGACACCTCACCTCAAGACACCACAGTATCTGACACCTCACCCCAAGACACCACAGTATCTGACACCTCACCTCAAGACACCACAGTATCTGACACCTCACCTCAAGACACCACAGTATCTGACACCTCACCCCAAGACACCACAGTATCTGACACACCTCACACCTCAAGACACCACAGTATCTGACACCTCACCCCAAGACACCACAGTATCTGACACCTCACCCCAAGACACCACAGTATCTGACACCTCACCCAAGACACCACAGTATCTGACACCTCACCCCAAGACACCACAGTATCTGACACCTCACCTCAAGACACCACAGTATCTGACACCTCACCTCAAGACACCACAGTATCTGACACCTCACCTCAAGACACCACAGTATCTGACACCTCACCTCAAGACACCACAGTATCTGACACCTCACCTCAAGACACCACAGTATCTGACACCTCACCCTCAAGACACCACAGTATCTGACACTCACCTCAAGACCCACAGTATCTGACACCTCACCTCAAGACACCACAGTATCTGACACCTCACCTCAAGACACCACAGTATCTGACACCTCACCCCAAGACACCACAGTATCTGACACCTCACCCCAAGACACCACAGTATCTGACACCTCACCTCAAGACACCACAGTATCTGACACCTCACCTCAAGACACCACAGTATCTGACACCTCACCCCAAGACACCACAGTATCTGACACCTCACCTCAAGACACCACAGTATCTGACACCTCACCCAAGAAGACACCACAGTATCTGACACCTCACACCCACAGTATCTGACACCACAGTACAGTATCTGACACCTCACCTCAAGACACCACAGTATCTGACACCTCACCCCAAGACACCACAGTATCTGACACCTCACCCCAAGACACCACAGTATCTGACACCTCACCCCAAGACACCACAGTATCTGACACCTCACCTCAAGACACCACAGTATCTGACACCTCACCTCAAGACACCACAGTATCTGACACCTCACCCCAAGACACCACAGTATCTGACACCTCACCTCAAGACACCACAGTATCTGACACCTCACCTCAAGACACCCACAGTATCTGACACCCCATTACCCACAGTATCTGACACCCTAAGACCCACAGTATCAGACACCTCACAGTACACCACAGTATCTGACACCTCACCTCACAGACACCACCCCAGTATCTGACACCTCACCTCAAGACACCACAGTATCTGACACCCTAGCACTCACACAGTATCAACACACCCCAAGACCCTACAGTATCAGACATCTCCCCAGTACCCACAGTATCTGACCTCCCAATACCCACACTTTATAGGACATCCTGTGCATCCACTGACAGCCTCAGTACTTCCACATACAGTATCTGGACATCCCAGGGTACCCACAGTATCTTGACATCCCAGTACCCACAGTATCAGACAATCCCATTACCCACAAAAATCAGATACACCCCATTACCCACAGTATCATGTGACACCCCAATACCCATACAGTATCTGACACCCCAGTGTATCCACAGTATCTGACACCCCATTACCCACAGCATCTGACACCCAAGTACCCACAGTATC